GGGGGCTGACCCTTCGGACCTGTCAGGGAATATACTGGTAGCATGTAACAATTATATGTACAATGTGAGTAGTGAAGATATACAGTGATATTCCTTGTGAATACTGAAGCTATACATTGAAATAAGTCGAGTCTGTATTGAGGATGTATAAGTGTCGTTGACTGTGCGTGTGTAAAGTTGTGACTCACGATACAATCGGCCATAAATGTCACAGTTGATGAAGATTGTGTAATGAAGTTGTTACATTGACCAAGACTGTGACCGGTGCAGTAGAGGTCACTGTTCCAGTGGCTGACAGTGCCGGGAGCCTCGGACAGTTAGGAGAGCCAGGGAACAAGGCCTTGACCACATGGTGGGAGGCCGGCAAGCCATACCTCCAGGCAAGGTCCTGTATAAACGTAGGGGTCATATCGGGCGAGAAAAATGGCTGAGTCTCTATAGTTATTTGCATAGAATTTGCATCGTCGGCTTCATTTAGACACAAGAACACGTTAACCTGGTGAAGTGAGACTTTTATTTATGGAGAGATAGTAGTAGAGAAAGCTGTAAAGAGGAGAAATTTTATATAATATATATATATATATATATATATATATATATATATATATATATATATATATATATATATATATATATATATATATATATATATATAATATTTAGCCCAAGAGGCCAGCATTCTACGTTCCCAGAAGTTTCTTGTTTCATGATAATTGTCTACTGTTGTTGTCTTACGTTCCGTGATGCTAGTTGCATACGTTCCCTGGTGAATTCTGCCTATATTCCCTGATGCTATCTGCCTATATTCCCTGATGCTATCTGCCTATATTCCCTGATGCTATCTGCCTATATTCCCTGATGCTATCTGCCTATATTCCCTGATGCTATCTGCCTATATTCCCTGATGCTATCTGCCTATATTCCCTGATGTTATCTGCCTATATTCCCTGATGCTATCTGCCTATATTCCCTGATGCTATCTGCCTATATTCCCTGATGCTATCTGCCTATATTCCCTGATGCTATCTGCCTATATTCCCTGATGCTATCTGCTTATATTCCCTGATGCTATCTGCCTATATTCCCTGATGCTATCTGCCTATATTCCCTGATGCTATCTGCCTATATTCCCTGATGCTATCTGCCTATATTCCCTGATGCTATCTGCCTACATTCCCTGATGCTATCTGCCTACATTCCCTGATGTTATCTGCCTACATTCCCTGATGTTATCTGCCTACATTCCCTGATGCTATCTGCCTACATTCCCTGATGTTATCTGCCTACATTCCCTGATGTTATCTGCCTACATTCCCTGATGTTATCTGCCTACATTCCCTGATGTTATCTGCCTACGTTCCCCGGTGCTGGCCCGGGTGTCACACCCACCTCAGCGGAAGCCATTACCACCACCGACATCCGCTACGCTCTCGTATAAAATGGGCGCCGACGCCGGGACACTTTGTTGCCATCTTCCTGTTTCCTCTCATTCATTTATTGGTGATACCTCTCTGTGGGTCCTCTGCCTCCCACTGTGGGTACGCTGCCCTTACTGTGGGTACGCTGCCCTTACTGTGGGTTCGCTGCCCTTACTGTGGGTACGCTGCCCCTATGTCTGTGATGCCCCCCTTTCCCCTGTATACGGTGCCCTCACCGTCATTACGCTCCCCTCACTGTGTTCAGGTGGACTATTTTTTCTCAACACCTTTCTCTCTTTTTCTCTTTGTATGCACTATATAAAGCCCAGGGTATAAAGTGCATTCTGAGAAAAAAATTGTCGTTTAACTCGACGTATGAGTATTTAATTCTCCCATCACCCCCCTTTTGTATTATTGTTATACACTTTATTACACAAGCATACACAGTTATGCAGCTGATTGGTTACAAAAGATGGATATTGAGAGGAAATAAAAGGAAGTTTTTTGCTAGTGACTATAGATTTCTTCGAACTCCTCCGAGGTCGAAGGATGGAACCAAGGATGCAGCAGGCGTTACCCCTCTGGATCGCCACACTGAGGCGCTGGAGAAGTAAGCTCGCCGCTCTAGGGTCCCTTGTCTCGGTGAGCCTTGAACCGAGGTCTCTGAGAAACCTTCTTCCACTCTCTCCCCCGTGGATGAAGGATACACATATAGATAGATATAGATATATTTAAATATATATGTTATCATAACTCCTTGTGAAGCCCGACTCAGAAAATTGCTTTGTTACATGATGCATTTGAATAACTCATTTAGCTGTGATTTATATTCATATTTAATGCAGATTGAAGCTTGAGCCATTGTCTTCCCTGTTCTTCTTCTGTTCAATTCACCGCTTTTCTCCTCCTGTTCCCCCCCCCCTCTCCTCGCCCCATCCTCCCCCCCCCCCTCCCCTCCCTTTTCCCACTGTTTTTCAAATCTAGCGAACGTGTTATTTCGCTTTTGAACAAGTTGATGTGATATTATCGGAGCGAGGGAGACCCGCCCCTGCCCTCGGCCACTGCTTTAATTATCTAACGGCCAATTTGCCACATCCTCTCACCTGCCCGCCTGCCGGAGATGCCGAAATATTGTCAAGTTTTCCTTCTCAGTCAAAGCTCCAGCATCTCTGGCCAACGCCTCACCCGTCTGTTTCACCCATCCACCCCCAGCGGCCACCCACGTGTCAGCCATCCACCCAGAAATCCCCCATCCATCTGTGTCAGCAATCCACCCTTCCCCTCATTTAGGTAATCCACTCAACCCCCTTCCTCTGGCACCTAGGAAGCTTCCCCATTCCACCCCTTCTCCCTCTCTCATCGGTCATCCAGCCCTCCACCATCAACCCTCCGGGCCCCATCCCTTCCAAGTCTTATATAAAACATACTGATTGATTGGTGAAGATTAAGCCACCCAATAGGTGGCACGGGCATGAATAACCCGTAAATAAAACATACGCGAGACCCTGTCTTTAATATGCAGCCGTCACAGACTACCCCAGACTAGAAAAGGAACAAAAACGATGATAAGGTATGCAACAAGGGTCATTCTTGGCTTTAGGAGAAATTTGGGTCACTGAAAAAGGAGACATATCATGTAACTATGTCAGGAAACGCTTAGTTCCATCCCCTATCACAATGCAGCCCAATTTCCTTATTCTATTTTCTAGTACATATTCTGTACATATAAAAGAGACCATAGCCAAGGAGAAGAAAACAGAGAGCATTCAGATAAAATTTTATAGTTTGTCTCTGATTTCGTGAGTATTTGTTTCTCTTACCACCCCTATTTTTAATTATATATTTTATTGTACACGATTACAAAATTACGAAATGAGTAGCACTACACACATACATACGTACATATATAATTATGAATGCAAGAGTAATCACAAGAAAAACGTGATTCGGGTATGTGGAAGTTTCCACAAAGGTTGAATGAAACGAAAACGGTCGGAATTGTCGTTTGTTTCTTCCTTTGTGGATACTTACGCGTCTATATATGTATCAATACCTGAATTTACTTTAGGACCACTAGATGCCTCGACGAGAACAGGAAGCCGGCAGCATGTCAAAGGTCTACCCATTTGTCCTGAGGATCTTTTTCAAGCTGGATTTTTAAGTTCAACAAAGTTTTGGCATTTACGGCTTCGGTGGATAGGCGGTTCCATTCGTTGATAACCCTGTGGGTAAGAAAGCGTCTCCTGATTTTAATCCTATAATGTGGCTAGTTGCTGATATACATACGTACATAGGCGAACGCCCAACGATGTGACCTTTAGAGTCTTTATAAGTCTAGTAGGTAATGAATTGTCAAAACGTGAGCCATTTATTGGGGTAACACAACAACCCGTTCTCGCAAATTTAATAAGTCAATATTGACTTATTAAATATGTGCATAGGTGACATACTTAACATAATAGATACCCTTAAAAAGATTCATAGAAAACACCGACCTTACCTAACCTTGTTAGTATCTTAAGATAAGCATCTTATTGCTTCGTAATTACAATTATTACCTAACCTATAATAGGTTTAGGTTAAGTAATAATTGTAATTACGAAGCAATAAGATGCTTATCTTAAGATACTAACAAGGTTAGGTAAGGTCGGTGTTTTCTATGAATCTTTTTAAGGGTATCTATTATGTTTAGTATATCATCTATGCACGTAGTTAATAAGTCAATATTGACTTTACGAATTTGCGAGAACGGGTTGAACACAATACATGTACTGTGCTTACGCTAATCCGCGAGAGTATCCAATAATATAACCAGTCTACCCTGTAATAAAGGTTTTTCTTCGTTTTCTTTATTTCAGAGTGCATGAAAGAATACGGTGTCTTGAATTGCTCCATAAACTATGCTCACTGCTTGCATCTAGTTTCCCATTGACGCATTGTAAGAAACAGCATGTCTGCTAGACTTAGCGAGGTCCTCTTGGCTAACAATTGACATTTCTCCACAAGATGCAAACCCACAACAGTTGCCTGACTCCCGTGTAGCCTAGCTTTATTGCTAGGGGAACATTGATGTCAGGTGTAAGGAAACGTCTAAGCTGTTCGTCCTGTTCAGGATTCGAACCTGGGACCATTCGGTTGTGAGCTCCTGCGCAATACGTTGTGGATTCCATGTACTCTACCTATAGAGGCTCCTCCTAGGGTTAGGCCAACTACTGATATTTTCCAGGATGCAACCCAAAACAGTTGTCTAACTCCGTGGTACGTATTTACTGCTAGGTGAACAGAGACATCACGTAAAAGAAAACGTGCCCAACCGTTTCATCCCTGCTCGAGGACTGAACTAGGGTCCCTCGATTGTGAATCGAGAACTGGATCACCGTTCTACAGGTCCCATTTAGTGGTCCTAATTGAAAAAGGGAAACTTGTGAAGTTTCCCTTCTTGACTGTTACTGATTACATGGGTGATATGTGTTTACATATCACAGATATGTAAACACCTGTTTACATATCTGTGAGATATGTAAACAGATGTTGTTTATATAACCTGGGTGTATAAAAACATGAATGAAATAACACAAAATGTATTTTAATGTTTTTATTGTGACTTTTGGTATAATTTAAGCATTATAATGCATTTCAGCAATAGCAAATGTATATTAGAAAGAAAATCAAAGTAGTGAGCTAATTCTAAGATGGTGTTGAGTCAGGTCTAGTCTCTTAACTGAGCTCGACCAAGGCGGCCAGAGCCCCGGAGAAGGCAGCATTGTAGTCGCAAGCCACCTCGTTGTGCTGGTAGTCCTGGCGGTCGTCAGTGTAGGAACCGTCCTGGTAGGAAAAAGATAATGAATAGACGTTCAATACAATGGGAGCCACACTGTAAAATGGGCTATAATACATGGGAGTTAATGGCAACAAAACATGCTCTATAATGAGATATGATTCTTCCATTTTCATGAAATTTCTAAGCAAGGAGAAAATCTGATGATCATGTAATACGTGAGGTAATGACTTCTTTTCCTCTTATTGAGAAAATGTTTGGAGCAAGCGCGCGTCTGAGATGACCCAGGATGCTGGTTCGATCTCCATCCCCAAAGATTTTCCCATATATAATGTTATTGCTAATTCATTGTGCACAGGAGACCAGATTAATAACAGCTCAAGGATTATCAAAGACTTAATAATGCACTAAATCAGATCTCATACTTCTAATCGATATCCTAAAATGCTTTCACTAATTAACTCTGTCGCAAGAACATAAGAATACAGAAAGGGGCAGTAGGCATATTGACCCATACGCGGCAGCTATTATTTATATCCAACTAACTTCATTCATATATATGTCTAAACTTAGCTTGATATAATCTGGTAATTTGTTCCATAAATCAACAACCCCTATTTCCTATAACTTTGAATATTAAATGCAAATAACCTTTCTAGTATTCTTTCTTGTGAGCGTGGTCCATAACGCAGTGTTTTAGACTCTCTGAGCTCCATTTGACTTAGTAATCTGTTCTTTAAGTGTCTCTCAAACGTAGCTTGTCGTGACTAACCTGAGATGGACCTCCGACAAGGGCGCCGTAGAGGACGTGAGGGTTGGGGCCTGGGTTGGAGAGGCCGCTGGAGCAGTCGGCAGGAGGGTTAGGACAGGAGCTGACGGAGAGAAGGCACACGTTAGGACGGTCTTTGTCGTGCGGAACACTACCGATACAAATATTGGTAGGGCGAGGACACGTGCAGGTTATCAGAGTGCGACACATCACAAAAATTATCATATTTCTTTGAAAATATTGGTATAATTTAGCATTTTTAAATACAGTATAAACAGTTATAGTTGTTGTGCTGGTTGTTGTTTCAGAAGTTGTTTAGGCGTGTATTCTGGTAGTAGTTGAAGCAACTGTAGCAATAGTTGGATTAGAAGTAGAAGCAGCAGTAAATTTTCATGCTGTATTTCATCACTGAAGGCGCAAATTCAAGCCGTTTTACTCACCCGTCAGCTTAAGCCAAGTGAGTAAAACTAACTGATCTAACTTCCTATCCCCAGGTTTCATATATCAGGTTTATAGACTGAATTTGTTTCTACTCTATCTCCCTCTAAGCCACTTTCTTTCTTTCACACTTTTATTACCTTATAAAAGTTTTTCATGACCTCACAGTGACACTTCTTGCTCAATCAGTCCCATTAATGAGCATATCTTTCTTGTTCACCTTAACTATCCCCCTGAAAACCTTATATATCATTATCATGTCTCCTAAGTCCAGCATTGTCTCTTGGATAACTCTCTCAGCTCAGACGCGAACTAGTTGCATGTCTCTAGATATATTTTCTAGTTTGATTTTATGTTTCTTTAGGTGTTAGAGGTCCACACAGGGATTTCATATTCAAGGATTTGTCTTGTGTATTTTTGTAGAGCGCTATAAAAGCACTATTACCAAGATCCATGTCATTTAGTGTGTGTGTGTGTGTGTGTGTGTGTGTGTGTGTGTGTGTGTGTGTGTGTGTGTGTGTGTGTGTGTGTGTGTGTGTGCGCGCGAGCATTACCTGGAGCGGTGGTGGGGTTTCTGGGGAGGGTCCACACCGAAGCCCACAACGAAGCTGTGGTATTTCGGGTTGTCTCCCAACAGCTGACCAATCTGGCCTCGGCCCCACTCCTGGTTGGCTTCTGTGTCAATGCCGTTCTTGGCGGCCTGGAAGAACAAGAACATAGCACTCAAAAACCATTCAAGATACATTGACACATTAGTTTAATAACGTTCTCCACCTACTGTTTTAAAATGTTTGCAATGGCAAAAAGATTGTCATTTCACCTAATTTATGGCTAATGAAGATGCTGGGATTCGTATATACGTTAATATACATAAAGATATACATAATGTTGAACAAGAACTGACCCAGAGGGCGATAAAGGCGACGTTGGCGGCGTGGCGGTTGGCGCCCCAGGCATCAAGGAAGACGAGGCCCTCCGGTGTGTATGGTGCTTCGTTCTTCAGCCAGCTCAAGTACCCGACCAGCGCGTTTTGGTACTCGCTGGAGCCGTCCAAGAGTGTAAAGAGTGCCTGCAGGAATGAGCGAAACTTTTTAATGAGGAATAGTCAGAAAACTTAATTTATTAGTTATCAATGAAATATAACAACTGAAAGTTATTTGTTGCAAGAACGAGGTAATCGTAGAGTTGTGCAACCCTTCTCATTGGTTATCCTTGAAGCTCACTGTCGTAGCAAGAGTGTAAGCTTCCCTAAGAGGAAGAGCTTAACCACCAAATCAGTGATAAGAAGCAGGACCTGTGTGTTGTTTGTAGTCACTCAACAGTTAACTTTGGTAAGCAAGCTAAGTTTTTCAGACCCATCTAGAAGCTCTTCTGATGTAGAGACTTGAACTTAACGATCAGGTACGCAAGTCCAAACGTATTTAAGTCAGATTCGTTTTCCGATAGACAGGAGCTATCAGGATAAGGCACCCCTTGTCTGATACACAGGGCACTGTAGCTTACAAGGGATTAATGGGAATATCGTTATTCTTTATAAAATGATTAAACAAATTACGTTAAAAATGTTTCCATGAAGGTTTATTGGTTGAGATATTACCTTATTTGAAACTGAATTCTGTTTAGTTTCAGTTCTAAGATCGAACTTAGAATCAGTTGCTATTCTAAGACCGAATAGCAGAGTTATTCCGTTTATTTTGAAGTCAAGCATCTGGTCCTAACACGTCTTACGTGTAGAAGATGAGTCTCGGTAACGTGGCTGAAGATGTGACCAAACCGCACATAAAACATGATGAAACAACGACGTTTTGGTCCGTCCTGGACCATTATCAAGTCGTATGTCAGGTCCACACACCACTTGATAATGACTGAGCATGTGGACTTGACACACCACTTGATATTGATCCGGGATGGACCGAAATGTCGTCGTTTCTTAATTTTGTGATGTTTGCTGTGGTCATCATGCGTTACGTGGTGATTACGGTACTACCCACCGCCTAGCAAATACATCGAATTTTGACGTAATCAAAATTCACACCGGACAAAATATGATGTACTATTAAACATACTGGCTCACTATAAAAAAATGTTTGTCTTAATTATATAATAACAAATGTTGTTTAATATCCCAGTTGTTCGTATGTTTAAATGAAGATTCTTCATAAATATTATTTCAGAATTCTTTAATATAGGCCCGTGGTTCCCATAGTGGGGTCGTAAAATGTTTTCTGGTAGGTCACGGAACCTAAATTCTGAGTACTGGTAATCGGAATCATTTAAAATTAGCCATAAGTGCCTATCCAGATGAGACAAATTTTTTCAATCATGAAAGTGTGGCAGGTGTTTGAAGCATTAGAAAATAGGGCAATGATGCCAAAAAGGTTGGGTATCATTAATTATAGAGAAACTGTTTTGTAGGTCTCTATTTTCACTGTTGGCTAGGCTACTGAGGGAGAGTTTTGTAGGTCTGTGTTTGCGGATTATACGTTAAAAGCTCATTGATTATACATTTGCATAAATATAACTATCTAAATTGGGTACTAGACGGAGACCGGGTGTATGGATCGATCCCTACAGCTTGCAACAATAAGTGTTAGTGCCGGCAGAGCGCAATTCTGCCATCAACACATGCGTTTTGCAAGTGAATATCTGAATTCTGAATGTTTTGAAACAGGTGAAACTCTATGGACATAGCGGCCACGATTTCATTTCCACCAACTTCATAGAGAACGTCATTAGATCAGACTCCCCTTTAGGGAGGGAGGAGGTCAACAGGGCTAACCACAACCCAGCCTATGACAGTCACCTGAGTCCAAGAGTCGGACCTACAACCACAACCCAGCCTATGACAATCACCTGAGTCCAAGAGTCGGACCTACAACCAACCAGCCTAACCCAGCCTATGACAGTCACCTGAGTCCAAGAGTCGGACCTACAACCACAACCCAGCCTATAACAGTCACCCGAGTCCAAGAGTCGGACCTACAACCACAACCCAGCCTATGACAGTCACCTGAGTCCAAGAGTCGGACCTACAACCACAACCCAGCCTATGACAGTCACCTGAGTCCAAGAGTCGGACCTACAACCACAACCCAGCCTATGACAGTCACCTGAGTCCAAGAGTCGGACCTACAACCACAACCCAGCCTATGACAGTCACCTGAGTCCAAGAGTCGGACCTACAACCACAACCCAGCCTATGACAGTCACCTGAGTCCAAGAGTCGGACCTACAACCACAACCCAGCCTATAACAGTCACCTGAGTCCAAGAGTCGGACCTACAACCACAACCCAGCCTATGACAGTCACCTGAGTCCAAGAGTCGGACCTACAACCACAACCCAGCCTATGACAGTCACCTGAGTCCAAGAGTCGGACCTACAACCACAACCCAGCCTATGACAGTCACCTGAGTCCAAGAGTCGGACCTACAACCACAACCCAGCCTATGACAGTCACCTGAGTCCAAGAATCGGACCTACAACCACAACCCAGCCTATGACAGTCACCTGAGTCCAAGAGTCGGACCTACAACCTTGACATATAAACAAGCAGACATCTTTTTTGTATATAGATATAGATGTATAATATAATACATTTCCATAATACAGGCCTTACCATAAGATTTTTTTTCATAATACTTCAGTAACGTATCTTCGGAATTTGTCACAGCTGCATGTTTACTATTTTTAGTTTAATATTTGTGAATTTTTGCATGACTAATATATTTTGTGGCTTTTCTCACACGTGTATCACAATAAGGTTAAGGGTCAATACTGTAAATAATACATACGGTAAACAAGCTACGAATAAATACAATAGTTTAAGAATGACTTACGAAGACTCCGGCTCTCTTGTCATCCCAAGCGAACTGCACAACATCTCCATTAAGGCTGAACTCGTCATAGAATCCTTTAGCGCGGGTGAGGTAGGAGTCGTCGCCAGTGGCCCTGGCTAGCCACAGGGCTCCCCAAGCCAGCTCGTCCCCATACCCGCTCCACGAGCTGTGGGGAGAGACAAGGTGTGTTGCTGATCTGGTGTGGTGCTCTGTTCTGATGCAATTAGCTTGGTGGTGCAGCTTACAGATGATACTGGCCTCATAATACTGACCAGCTCATGGTTTTGTGATCTTATTGACTGATCAGTATAACACATTACACGTTCTCGCACATCAGATTACGAAGCACTTACTGGTAAAACGCAGTGGCGTCTGTGATGGAGTTGTCGTAGATGTCGCGGTATTTGTCAGCAAATTCGAAGAGCTCCTTGGCCACGCCCAGCACCTCGTCGGAGTAAGCTGGGTCCACGCTCTGACAAGATCGATAACTGAGATGTATAACAAGATTACAAAACGAGACAGCTTTTGAAAAGTAGTTAATAGTCACCTGTTAAGACAATAACAGGTGACTATTTGACATGGTAAGAGAAAATTGTGATGAGTCTAGAGTCATATTAAAGGTCCGACAGTATAATTAGCAAGCATTGAGAACATTGAGAAAGGGATGACAGTGTCAAAAGAATACTTAAAGATAAAGAATACTTAAGATAAAGTATCAGTTAATATTTAACTGATACTTTATATCAGTTAAACCTTCCCTGAAGCTTGTTATACGAAAGTAAAAATTCATAATGCAAGTATTAACTATTACCTTGAAGACGATGGATGCTCCAGCGAGTGCGGCAGCAGTCTCAGCAGCCAAGTCGCTACCTGTAGGAGACAGTGAAGCTCAGCATCCCTCATAACAACGTTGCCAAGACTCATCTCAGTGGACGGTACATTTTTGGCAACAATTCAACTCCAGCTCATAACCCAACGACAACAAAACTAATATATTAGCTCTATGAGACAATTTATTTGCTTTATGAACCTCAGAGTGTCTATATCAGCGTCTGGAGTCACCAACCTGGGCGTGATTCATCGATCTTGTAAGAAGGTCGCTGCATGGTCATGTCCTCGGGGCGGCCCCAGAAGGCGTGGTCGGTTCCACCTGCGCCCACCTGAACAAATGACAATTTAATGGAAAAAATATATAAAGTAAAATACTACAAAAACGGAGATAATTCTATGAGCAATAAGGACAGAATTGCGAACTCAAAAGAAGATAAATCTTCATTTCTGTATATACTCTTTTTTCTCTCTCTCTACAAACACTCTTCCTTTTATAAAAGTCCCTGCATGTAACCTCTCGCGGTCAGTCCGTAACAATGGCATTGCATCGTATTTAATGAAAATGTAAACAACTTGTTTATTTTTGACACATAAGGCACCGAAGAGCTACTACTGACCTGGCCGTAGAATTCATCATGGGCGGTGTGAGCCTTGAGGAAGTAGTCAGTGGCCCACTTGAGAGCTGCCTGACCGTACTCTACCTGACCTGTGAGGGGGAGACACCAGAATTATCTCAGTGCCATGCGAGACTTAGATCGACTGCTGGTATATTGCGCAGTTTCTAATAACGACATTACTGATGAAGCACATCTGTGTACATACACGTGCTATTAAACATATCCATATTCATAAGATATATTCATTAAAACACTGAGGTAACCCCAGTTGAATATCACGGATATGTTGAATAACATATTACATGCTATATATACAGCAAAACTCACCAGCATTTTGGTGTCCCTCGGCGAAGTCAATCAGGCCCCAAGCCAACATTGTGGCGGTGAAGGCCATCGGGAACCCAAACTTGACGTGATCACCAGCTGGAAACGAAAAACAGGAATTACAAGACCTTGTTTATCTCCACCTGTTCTTTCTCTACTCTCACTGAGGTCAAATCATATAGAAGCAATTTTCCAACTTCCGACGGAACCTTAATCGCTCTCAAGGTACTCAACTCAAGCTTTTCTCAGTCACGCCTTACCGTCGTAGTAGCCGCCAGTGAGGTCGTGGCCCACATCGGAGCCGTCGTCAAGAGCAGAGTCTCCTCGCCAGGTGACGCGCTGGTCTGCTGGCAGAGGACCTGACCGCTGGGCCTCGTAGAACACATAGGACATGCACAGCACCTGAGGGTGAAGGGAGATATGCACAGTACCTGAGGGTGAATGGAGATATGCACAGTTCCTGAGGATAAGGACAGAGATACACAGTACCTGAGTGTGAGGATATTAATTTAATACAGTCAATGTCCGCTTTAAGAGCAGCTCGTTACTGTATTCTCCGAAACTAAAAAGCTACGAGTTTGTTGCATTTAAAGGCGCGAAGCTAGCGAAGTACTAACCTGGCTGTAGTCGTAGGGACTCATGCCAGTGGCCGCACAAGGGTTCTCCATGGGCGCGGGTGTGGTGAAGGCCGAGTCTGTCAGGAAAAAATGGTGAACAAGTTAATGCTACTCGAGGGAGCGTGACTAATCATAGGCAGTTAAAAAATATGATGAAAATGAGGAGTCGCTGGAGGGAATGAAGAAGCCGAGAGGATAACGAGAAAATATGTGAAGATAGCAGACAGATGACTTAGATGGGTTTGGCAATAATAAAGTCGTTTTGAGAATGGATGTGAATTAGACATGTAGCAACGAAGGTAATAATTCTGCTATCATTTTATATGGTGATCGTCCTAATGACAAAATTTTACACCTGGGTGCAGCTTTTCGTGGCAAGAATGTGTTAAATAAATCGAAAATCAATCTAAACTAAAATTCTATAATAACGAATACAGATAAATGTTGTTACTCATTTTTTCCAAAAATCCTAATTTCTCTTGATACTGTTGCAGGTCGGTGTTCTATCCCTGATCGCCCTAGAGGTTAGGCACTATCCCTTCCAAGTGCTATGCAGTGATACTGGCTTAATACTTTCTCCTGATAACTACCTTACCATACCTCTCTTGCAACTGCTGAAATTGGATTAAATTTTATGCATTTTAAACTTTTTTGGACCTGATACTCCTGATATTCAGAGCGTATTCCATCTTTTATTGAATAATCAGTTTAATAATAGTTGATTTAATCAATTAGAAAATGGATTTTCGAGAATTTGATGACCGTTAATAATTCGTTCGATGATAAGTTAACGACACCCGACTCGTTAAGTCCCAATAGGGAACAACTACCAAGTCCGGACTCGTCAGCGTCACCATCTACTTGTGTATTTAGGATCCATTAAAACCAGCACGATAGCGCCTGAAACTGCTAAATAAACAAGGCAGGAAGCTGGACACAGACACACACAAAAGTAGCAGAGCTGCACCTCGACTTACCGCAGATTTCTGCGCCATTCAGCACCTCGTGGATGACCAGAGGAGTGACTCCAGAGTAATGGACCTGGAAGGTGAACTTGATTTGCGCCCCTTCAGCCACATTGATGTTGTTGTCGATGAGAGTGTAGTGAGTGTCGTCCACCTTGGTCGACTGTCCCTCGTAGAACTGTTGGATAATAAGCAAGAGTCACAATAACGTGGCTGAAGTATGTTGACCAGACCACACACTAGAAAATGAAGGGACGACGACGTTTCGGTCCGTCCTGGACCATTCTCAAGTCGATTGTGAGATTGTCAACTATATATAACGAGCTCTCAATTCAGTGAGAGTTTAATGTCAGTGAGAGTTTAATGAACAGCTCAACGGAGAGTGGAGCTGAACTTTAGAGAGTGGAGTGGAGTATTATGAACTTTAAACATCACACTGGAAGGTTTTCTTTACTCTAAACATCACATTGGAAGGGTTTATGAACTGGAAACATCATACTAGAGAGTTTTATGAACTTTAAAAACTCACAGTGGAAAGTTTTATTTGCATTAAACATCACACTGGAGAGTTTTATTAACTCAAAACAGCACAGTGAAGGTTTTATGAACTTTCAACATCACAGTGGAAAATGTTATGCACTCTAAACATCACAATGGAGAGTTTTATGTATCTAAACATCACACTGAAGGGTTTTTGTACTCTAAACATCTCGCTAGAGGGTTGTATGCACTCTAAACATCACAATGGAGAGTTTTATGTATCTAAACATCACACTGAAGGGTTTTTGTACTCTAAACATCTCGCTAGAGGGTTGTATGCACTCTAAACATCACAATGGAGAGTTTTATGTATCTAAACATCACACCGAAGGGTTTTTGTACTCTAAACATCTCGCTAGAGGGTTGTATGTGCTCTAAATGTCACAGTGGAGAGTCTAACGAACACACATCACAGTGAACGGTGTTATTTACTCTAGATATCACAATGGGGGATTTAGTGAACGTCCAACATCACAGGGGGAATTAACGCATACAATGCCATCTTCGTTTGTCAGGAAGTTGCTGTGATTTGAGTCCCATTAATGAGAGTTTTATGTTGACGTTAAACATCTACGTGTTATGTAGGCGATGAGTCACAATAACGTGGCTGAAGTATGATGACCAGACCACACACTAGAAATTGAAGGGACGACGACGTTTCGGTCCGTCCTGGACCATTCTCAAGTCGATTGTATCGACTTGAGAATGGTCCAGGACGGACCGAAACGTCGTCGTCTCTTTAATTTCTAGTGTGTGGTCTGGTCATCATCTACGTGTTACGCTGTCAGTCTTCTTTCAGTCCGTAATGCAACTCAAACGTGGCTCCATTTTGTATTGCTCCGCAGCTAAATAAACAATATTTTCTGTTATTTTTTCTGTTTATTTTAATGTTTTTTTTATATAAAGGTTTGTCGAAGAATCAAGATAAATTTCCCAACCTTCAGTTAAACATCCAGTCAGTTGTAATGTGAAATAGTGAAGTGCAGCGTAATCAATAGACTAGACATCATTAACTTACATCAACATCATCATTAGATTGTACATCATTAACTTACATCATCAACATTATTAGAGTGTACATCAGTAACTTACATCAACAGTTTCAAGAAACTGATATCATTAACTTACATCATCAACATCATTAGACTGTACATCAGTAACTTACGTCAACAGCATCAAGAGACTGGACATCATTAACTTACATCAACATCATCAAGAGACTGTACATCAGTTTCTGACTGTACACTGTACATCAGTAACTTACATCATCAACATCATTAGACTGTACATCAGTAACATACATCAACAACATCGATAGGCTGGACATGGCCGACTTACATCAACAGCGTCGACCGGTGAGCTGAACACCACATCCAGACTTAGACCATTGATGGCTGCAGGAGCGGTGGCGGTAAACTCGGCCTGGTAGTTACCTGGCCATGTGTTGGTGATGACCACATTGTCACACTGCGCATGCGCTCCTGCCCAACAACCACGACATAAAACATTAGTTACAGCGAGAAAATCCGTAGGAACCGTGATGAGGATTCGAACCTATGTTCTGGGTACTCCCAAGCATGCTCCTTATACAACTAGGCCACGACATGGGGGAAAGGATTATCTAAGGCGTGTGCTTCGGAATACTCAGAGAATAGGTTCGAATCCTCTTCACGGCTCCTATGGATTTTCTCATTGCTACATCACGTTACAGTGAGTTATGTGTATTAGTTACAACAATACGGACATATGCTCTGAAATGCTATAGCTGTAAGCCTTGGACGTATTGCTTGTCCTTGTATGTTGCTTAGTCTACCCATTTGCTGGGATGCTCTTAGACCAAAGTCTTGGTGTTAATCACATTTATAACTCGCCATAGTAGCATATGTAAGAGGGTGACAATGTTCCCTCAAGTTCTTCTATTTCACATTATATTAATTATATTGATATAGTGTGAAATGCTAGTGAAAATAATGTGGTTTTAATGATATAGTGTGAAATACTAGTGAAATACAATATTAGTGATGTAGTGATCAATGGTGGTGATGAAATGATCAATGTTAATGTGATCATTTCATCACCATCATCAAGCAATGCACATAAACATCTGTTAATGTTAATGTGCATTGCTTGATGAAGTGATAAATGATAGTTTTATAATACACGAATATGTGTTTTGGACACTTGTATTCGTGCGGGTGCATGTATATGTATGCTTCTATGTGAGTGTATGTGAGGAGATACCTGAGAGGAAGGCGAGGGCCCCCAGCAGGCAGGTCTTCACTAGGACACCCGCAGCCATGTCTGCCGCTGAAGAGACTGTAGTGCGGGAGCAGCGTGGATCCCACTCTTATATACCTCCCAATGGTCGCACGATCCCCTGTTTGTTGACGATAGTCGCGTGCGTCAGCAGATATTCCAGGATAAAACTATGAAGTGCGTCCATCTGGCGTGTCTCCCAGTAGCGACAGCCGGTTCAGTTCTCACCTGCTCCCCGTGTGTTTAGCTGCATGGGTCGACCAGCACACCTGGTTTATTACATAGTCTCAACAACAACTTTACATGGAACGATTTATCAAGTTTGACATATTAAAAAAAAAATTATATATCTACTTGGAAGGGTACCTGGCTGCACCCGGGTATTTCTCCCCCTCACCCTTCCCCATTCCCTCCCTCCTCTGCCACCTATCTTTCCCTATCTCCCCATCGATTAATTCTTCCCTAAATTTATGGGGGAATTTGGTCGGTGGTGAGAAATTCATCGATGTTCTTAAAATGAAAGAACCCCGCGGGATCAAACTTCCCCCTGACGTTGAACGTTTGTTCACTAACGTACCGGTGGACAGGACCAAACAACATAATACTGGACTATCTCTTATCAACAGGAGTAACTCCCTGCACTAAAAGTACCTCGAGCAATCTTGCGGGATACACTGAGGGCCTTCACGACCGAAGCTCCTTATATGTGCCCAGAGGGTACGCTCTGCAGGAGAGATTGCTGAAACAGAGGGAATACGGAGAACATATACGGCACGCATGGACACGATAAAGCACCTAAACTATTGGGATCGTCTCTAAGCTTAGGATATGTGGGCCTGCGGGCAGCTCTAAGCAACAGCGTGTTGGACCAAGCTCTCACAAGTCAAGCCAGGCTCCAGGCCGGGCTTCGGGAGTAGAAGAAATCCCAGAATCTCCTCCTCCAGGTATAATCCAGATTCAATCCAAGTTGGTGTAGCAATGCTGTCTCCATTGGGGGGTCTTGTTCTCCCAGGCAATTATGTCTCATGATGAGTCATCTACCCTTCAGATGGAAGAGATGAGTGTTAGTATATAATGTAGATATATTGACAACATATTCGTATGTGCTAATGAAAACACACTGAAGCTTCGAAGCAAGTTTTAGTGTCTCAGTCTTAAGGTTCACTCTCAAGAAAAATGTGTGAGGCAGAATAACTTACAGATTAATGGGTGATATAAGTTACTTTAATTTATACCAGCATGATTCTTATGTCCAGCATACAGGAACATATGAGCAAATTACACAAACCTAATCAGTATCAAAATAATTCAACTAAGTAACCGATTTAACAATCACTCTAGTAAGAAAATCACAAAATAGGAATGATAAAACCTAAGTAAATATTATATATTAAGAAGTGGCACAGTAGTTCACTAATTGCATAATAACAAATTAATAAGAATTACTACACGCTGATTAATAGCCAGAGGATACCTTGCACCTGACTCAACAGAAATGTAAAGCCTGACCCAACGGAAAATGCTGAAGACTACGGTAGAAGGAACCACAGACGACTGTTATACACATCAAAATACTCGGGAGAATTTCACACCACAAGTCCCTCAGGCGAGCAAGTCGGAACCTGTCGTCTGGCTGTCTGGGCTCTCTAGTTACCAAACATACAATTAACTATCCAATCTAGGCAAGTTAGTTCTCTCTGTCTCTCTCTCTCTCTGTCTCCCTCTCTCTCTGTCTCCCTCTCTCTCTCTCTCTCTCTCTCTCTCTCTCTCTCTCTCTCTCTCTCTCTCTCTCTCTCTCTCTCTCTCTCTCTCTCTCTCTCTCTCTCTCTCTCAGGTGAATTAATTCCCAGCGTTCTCCAATTATAGCCTTATCGCCTGATAATATGACCTTCAGAATTTGTCGTATTTTCGTTTTCCCAAAAATATTGAAAGCAGTTGACTGTAATCACGATTTTATAACCCAAGACTTTATTGCTCCTTTTGACGCCCGTTACAAACAAAATATTGATAATTAAAATGAAGGAGCAAGGTATTGCAGAAACCTTATTTAATGGACCAGGAAATGGTGACCACTCGAGAAACAAAAGGTCAGCATAAATTGAATAGAAAGAACGCCCCAGGATACTGTCCTGGGATCTATACTGATGTACTGTCCCAGTGCATGAGAGACAGCTGCTACACGGTGTGACGGACAGCTGGTACATAGCAGGAGAAACAGTCGCCATTTTGGACAACTGTCATGCTACATTTCGCTGAGTTTCTGCATGTCACAGGGAACTGGTGCATTGTCTGAACGACAGGAGTATAGAAAAACTTGTTTTGTTTTCAGCTGCATTTATTATTATAACGTTGACAATTTGGAATAAAATTAGGCTAAGCTTAACCGAGGCGGCCAGAGCTCTTGTTGGTTTCTGGTCGGGTTTTTGAGCTCCATCAAGACATCCAGGTTGTGGTGGAGGTCAAGTCGGGTCTTTAACTGAGCTCGACCAAGGCGGCCAGAGCCCCGGAGAAGGCAGCATTGTAGTCGCAGGCCACCTCGTTGTGCTGGTAGTCCTGGCGGTCGTCGTTGTAGTCGCCGCCCTGAGGCAGGAGAATAACAGATTACCAGAAATGTAGTGAATCAGAGTACTTTTAAACACGAAAAAATCGAAGGATTATTTTAACAGCTAGAATTTCATTATTCAATATATGTGAGCTTGAAATATTCACTAATATAGAACGTTAGTTGTTTTATTCCAGCTGTTCTGTATGCAATAGAAGGGCCCGTTGGAGGTATTATACGCATTATATAGATATTTTAAAATAGCTAATATAGAAGTTACTTTTTGGTTGCTGGAATAGATATGGTTGATTCAATAGATTTAGATGAAGCACACCTTCCGAAGGCTAGAATGAGGATCTGGTAGTAGATGTTGACAGTTTGGCTATGTGGTGCCATCGGATAATCGAATTGAATGTCTTGTTTCTAAAATTATGATGGTTAACTTGCTCAGAGAAAAGTTAAGGCATGCTATCAACAGGTTATCATTTGTTAAAAAATATATGTTTCACATTATCGAGTGAAATTTTGAAGCGAGTCATGTTTTTCTCTAATATTTATTGGTCTAAACGCAAAGTATAACCTTCCCCGCATGCCTTGCAAGTGATATTGTCCAGGGTTCGAATCCTGGGCAGGCAAGGACGAATGGGTACCGATCCCCAACTCTCCTTTCCCCCCTTTGTTCACCCAGCAGTAATTGTGAGCCCGGATCGAGTTCGAGTGCAAATTAGCATGAGAAGGCGTACGATAAGATATTGAAAGATGGACCACTAACAGGAATAACGAGTCATTTGCCCGTGTCTCCGCACGCCTAGACAAGTACTAACCGCCGAAGGTCCGCCGACGAGGGCGCCGTAGAGGGTCTGGTGGTTAGGTCCGTCGTACGTCAACATTCCGTCGCAGGTCTCCGGGGGAGTCGGACAGGAGCTGGTGGAGAGAAATGGCACATTATAAACCTCGTCATCAGTCGTTTCTTTCATCGTGTAGTGATTCGTTGTTGAAGGAGGTCAGTGTTTATGCTCTCCAGAGTTCCAATAGGTTCAAGAAATGTTAGTCAATATAGTTCATTTTCATTTCATGATGAGTATCTACTCAGAACTGAATTGTACAATGAACCACCCACTGAAGTACACTAAGCTAGATAATAAATCATACAGTGATACTCACTAAGCTGGATAATAAACCACCCATTGACATACACTAAGCTGGGTAATAAACTACCCACTGACACACATTAAGCTGTATACTGAATCATACACTGATTTATTAAGCTTGTTAATAAACCGCCCACTGACACTCACTAATCTGGCACTATGCTTTAAGAAACGTAATAATTCTTCCCGGAAAAGAAGTCACAATGTAACACTGGCGTGTGAAAAATTATTGTAAAGATAAATTAATTAGTGATCAATCACGAAATCAAACACAACATATGAATGTATGTGTGTGTGTGTGTGTGTGTGTGTGTGTGTGTGTGTGTGTGTGAACATCAAATTAATTCATATTTGTAACAATTGATTTACCTAATTAGTATCCACATCAGAGTAAAAACTATTTAGTCAATACCTTGCTTATATATGTTAGCAAGTTTAATCAGTGTGTGTTTTGTGTGCGTGCATGTGTGCGTGCATGCGTGCGTGCACCTTACCTGGAGCGGTGGTGGGGTCTCTGGGGAGGGTCCTCACCGAAGCCCACAACGAAGCTGTGGTATTTCGGGTTGTCTCCCAACAGCTGGCCAATCTGGCCCCGGGCCCACTCCCGGTTGGCTTCTGGGTCAATGCCGTTCTTGGCGGCCTGGAATATTGAATTTATAGATTAAATGCAGTCACCCCGTGTGAGTCTGTAACTTTAAGTTATTTATAATTGATTTGTATTGTTTTGGTTATAAAGAAGAGAGCAACTGACCCAAAGAGAGATGAAGGCGACGTTGGCAGCGTGGCGGTTAGCGCCCCACTGGTCCAAGAAGACCAGACCTTCAGGGGTGTAGGAAGCTGACGTTTTCAGCCAGTTCAGGTACTTGACGAGGGGATCAGAGTACTCACTGGAGCCGTCCAGAAGCGTCAGCAGTGACTGTATCAATGAGTATTCACATTTTAGAGTCATTAATCTATTAAAAACCAGTTCAAGTGTTTTAATTGCTTTTCAGTACTTCTTAACATGAACTCACATAGACTCCAGCCCTCTTGTCGTCCCAAGAGAACTGCTGCACGTCCTCCTCTAGGTAGTTGAACTCGTCCCAGTGACCCTTGGCGCGGGTGAGGTAGGCGTCGTCGCCGGTGGCTCTGGCCAACCACAGCGCCGCCCAGGCCAGCTCGTCCCCGTAACCACTCCACGAACTGGGGAGAGACGAGGATACACTCACTGTGTGTTGCTGGGGAGAGACAAGAATGTACTCGCTGTGTGTTATCACCGATCTGGTTTTGTTGTTACCAATGTACTAACTGTATATAAGAAACAAAATAGAGTGGTAAATATTATCACTGTGTTTTACCTAGACTTTTAATACAGTTCCACGCGAGGGATTGATAAGGAAGGCTGAAGCGCATGATACGAGAGAAGACCTCTTAAACAGGACCAAGTTAGGATCTTTTCGTAGGAAACATAAGGTCAGTGTTAATGGAACAATCAGCATAGGGATCGGACGCAAGAAGAGCTCCCCAGGATCTTTTCAGCTGACCTCTGAATTTCACACTATAGAGAAATGATTGAAAAAAGCCAACAGCTACTTCGTAAATGCATTGATAACACTGAAATTGGGCGGTAAATAAATTTAGCTTAAAATTTAAAAATGCTATAGGAGGGCTTAAACTTTTTCTAAAAATAGAATGAAAACTATCGGTCAATTCGCTGATGATAACTGTAGAGTTTTAAGCACTAAATGGACACACGGGGAACCATTTATCATCTGGACAATATTGAAATTGTTAAATGGGATTGTTAAATTTTGCAAAACTAAAAGAACAATGCAGAAATATTTGAAATTAGGTTAGGTAATGGAATTTATATATGGAAACATTATTAATTAAAAGCTTTAATATAATTTGTCAATTTTATCTTTCCCACGTGAAACTACATTTGGATTATGCAATCCAGTTTTTCCCAACGTAATCTAAAATAAGGGGAAAGTGGTATCCAAATATGGTCAAATACGATAAACTCATCTAATTGGAGACTCCAGCATCGAAAAAGTGTTAATTAACATTCTCTAGCGAGGTGGAGAAATAATAATGAAGTAAACAAGTGGATTCAAGAGTTTAACAATTGGACTAAAATAAACTAAAAACATCATCCCAAAATAATACACGAAACAGTTGATACGAAATAGATTAGTTTATACTTAGAAAATAGATTAGGCATTTATTAATAGAGGTGTAAATGTGTGGATTTTTTTTTACCAAGATCATAGAAGGAAACTGAAAGGAAAGCTTCAAGAACCGGGTGTACTGATGGATGGGTGGGTGTGGTTGAGTGTTAATAAGAGGTGCCTCGTATGGGTCAATAGGAGCTACCGCGATTGGGCTAATTAAAAACAAGACTTGCCTTGCTAGGCCAATACAACCTGTATCACAAGGATAAATACGAACTCTCTCACACGGGATAATAGAAACTGTTTCGCACGGGTCAATATCCCATGCAAAACATGGGTATATATAGGGGTTGAGTAAATGATATAATGAAATTAGCTGGAAGTTGCAGCAATATAGTCTAACTAAGAGAACTCTCAACACATACTGGTAATACGCAGTTGCGTCTGTAATGGCGTTGTCGTAGATGTCGCGGAAGTTGTCGGCGAAGTCGTAGAGTTCTTTGGCCACGTCCAACAACTGGGCGGCGTAGGCCGAGTCCACGTCCTGAGGAGGTGAATGGTGACGTGAGGAAAGGAGAGCGGTAACCTAGAGCGGGTTAAGCGAGGGAGAATGAGAAGTGGCACAGTGTCAAGTGCAAATAATGGAGAGTGAGAGGTGGCACTGTCAAATATACTGAGTTATGATGAACCTTCAAGCGGTGGAACAGGATGAAACACCACGAAGATAGTTATTACCTGGAAGACAATGGAGGCTGCGGCGAGGGCTGCGGCTGTCTCTCCTGCCAAGTCGCTACCTGCGGGAGGAAGACGAGAGTCTCAGTAGTGATCATAATTGTACCGCCAGACAGCCCTTAGTGCAGGGTGATGATGTTCTTCCCAGACAAACACAGATCTTGGTAACGTGAGACTCGGGACTTACCGGGCTTCGCTTCGTCGATCTTGTAGGAAGGTCTTTCCATGGTCATGTCCTCAGGGCGGCCCCAGTAGCCGTGGTCAATACCTCCGTTACCCACCTATAAATAACCTTACATGAAATAAATGAAAAATTACGAGCTATTCATGATCATGCCACGTCTTGGTGGCTTAATCTTCATCAATTAATTAATTAATCATAAAATAAATTATATTTGTCCAAAAGTAGACAAATGTCCGAATTGCATAAGTTCGTTTCATTGAAGTATCTTAGGGTGCTACAGAGTTGCAAAACATGTTTCCTTTAGTTTCAGACGTCTTTGTACTCCTGTAACTTGTAGCGTTACCTGTCTTATGAGGGATTATGTGCAATTCTCTAGTATGTTTTGTGTGTTCCCCATTTTGAAGAAAGTTCGTGATTCCCCTTCATGAGGTCCGTCGGTCATATTACAACTTCCTTAGGTGGAAGAATCAATGTGCATCTTCAGGAGTAAGAGAGCAACATTTTATTCAGATCTCATTGTGAGTAGCTAGTACGAGGCGTAGAGAAGGAACCTCACCTGGCCGTAAAGTTCGTCACTGGCAGTGTGAGCCTTGAGGAAGTAGTCTGTGGCCCACTTGATCGCTACCTGAGCGTATTCCGTCTGACCTGTGAGGGGAGACATCGGGCATGAGTCTCTCAAACTATTGTCATTGGGCAGACACCAGGACCTTTTCATGTAACCAATAAAGACTCTATCCTTGCAGTGACGTTCACCTCCTCGTAACATTGACGCGGCTGACCATGCCGCGTCCATGTTACACAGCAGCAGGGCTTGTCAGACGCATAAGGCAACACTTACCGGCAGTCTGGTATCCATCAGCGAAGTCTATGAGGCCCCAAGCCAGCACAGTGGCGGTGTAAGCCATCGGGAACCCAAACTTGACGTGGTCACCAGCTGCAGATGAAGAAAACATGATTTATAATTAATGATGTGATTGATGGTCTCTCTCTCTCTCTCTCTCTCTCTCTCTCTCTCTCTCTCTCTCTCTCTCTCTCTCTCTCTCTCTCTCTCTCTCACACACACTCTCTCGCTCACTCTCTCACTCTCTCTCACACACTGTCACTCTCTCACACACTCTCTCTCACTCTCTCTCACACTCTCTCACTCTCTCTCACACACTCTCTCTCACACACTCTCACTCTCTCTCTCACTCTCTCTCCCTCTCTCTCCCCCTCTCTCCCTCCATCTCCTTACCGTCGTAGTAGCCGCCAGTGAGGTCGTGGCCCACATCGGAGCCGTCGTCAAGAGCAGAGTCTCCTCGCCAGGTGACGCGCTGGTCTGCTGGCAGAGGACCTGACCGCTGGGCCTCATAGAACACATAGGACATGCACAGCACCTGAGGGTGAAGGGAACATGCACAGCACCTGAGGGTGAAGGGAACATGCACAGCACCTGAGGGTGAAGGGAACATGCACAGCACCTGAGGGTGAAGGGAACATGCACAGCACCTGAGGGTGAAGGGAACATGCACAGCACCTGAGGGTGAAGGGAACATGCACAGAACTTGAAAGTAAAGAGAAGTTATTGGGGCTCGAAATCTGCATATTAAACACCTGGAGGCAAGCGCACATTGAATGTGACACACTTGCCAGAGCAATAAATATTATTTAACAGTGCAATGAAACAGCAGATCAAAATTCACCGAGTTCTGTTTTGCTTCAATTGGTCACTAACCTGGCTGTGGTCACTGACCTGGCTGTGGTCACTAACCTGGCTGTGGTCACTAATCTGGCTGTGGTCACTAACCTGGCTGTGGTCACTGACCTGGCTGTGGTCACTAACCTGGCTGTGGTCACTGACCTGGCTGTGGTCACTAACCTGGCTGTGGTCACTAACCTGGCTGTGGTCACTAACCTGGCTGTGGTCACTAATCTGGCTGTGGTCACTAACCTGGCTCTGGTCACTAACCTGGCTCTGGTCACTAACCTGGCTCTGGTCACTAACCTGGCTCTGGTCACTAACCTGGCTCTGGTCACTAACCTGGCTCTGGTCACTAACCTGGCTGTGGTCACTAACCTGGCTGTGGTCACTAACCTGGCTGTGGTCACTGACCTGGCTGAGGTCACTAACCTGGCTGTAGTCGTAGGGCGTCATGCCAGTCTCGGCACAAGGGTTGGTCATGGGCGTCGGCGTGGTGACCACAACGTCTGGGGAAGATGAGAAGAAACATGAGTGAGCCAGACTGTTCGTGGCTATAATTATCTAGCATATCATCCGTCGAAGTGTGTCCAGCTGTTAGGATCTTAAGCGACCCGTACGCATTTCCACGTTTGTACTCTCTAGGAGCTTTCGGCAAGTGAGGTACAGAGATTTTGGCCTTAACGGTTTCAACCAATTTATTTACGATTTTTTTTATTTCTGCAGTCGCATCCTTATTAATTTAGTTTGGTCAGAGAAGATGAGGTTTATTTTCTCATATATTCATGTTTTTTAGAACATTTATTGATGATTTATCACCTCTTCTGAGAGTTATTTCCTGATTCTCACGAAGGTTCTTAGCTGTCGGTTTGAGGGCAGGAGACATTATGGTGTTCTTGTAGTTACCTCGAGACATTCCTCCTCCTGCCAGAAGTTCTCCTTGCGAACTATTAATATTGTCTTCCTTTGTCTCAAGGTCGAATTTTTTACTCGATCCTTTGTTCGAATCGCACCTCTCTAAATGTTTCACCAACGTACTGCAAATTGTATTAATTCCGTACAGAACCAGAACACCAAACTTAACCTTTGTACGAAATTCAAACACATAATAATATTCATTTATTGACCAGATCACACACACTAGAAAGTGAAGGGACGACGACGTTTCGGTCCGTCCTGGACCATTCTTAAGTCGATTGTCTATTCATTTGTCACGAATATTCATATATATATATATATATATATATATATATATATATATATATATATATGAAAAAAACACATTTTGAATAAACAGTACATTAAAATGAATGAATGCGTTTTTGAAGTCGGCCGTCACTTGAACAAGCCTAGCCTGAGGCCCTCGCCCTTGAGTAAACCTAAACAGGAGAAACATATTGGAACCGAGCTGCATGTAGTTCATTCTTGCAGCTTGTTAAAGGTATAAGATGAAGGAGGCAGAATATAAACAAAGAAGCGTCACCTACCGCAGATCTCAATACCGTTGACCACCTCATTGGTGACAAACGGTATGAAGTGGGAGTAGTGGACCTGGAACTTGGTATGAATGTTCTCTCCCGGGTTGGCGTGGATGTTCTGGCTTACGAGGGTGTAGTGGTATTCGTCGATCCTGGTCGACGTGCCGTCATAGAACTGTCAAGACAAAGGCAAAATCTCGGTCATCAGGCGCTAAGAACCACAACAGTCCACATTTGCTGCTGATTATTTATTTATTTTATTTATTTATTTATATACAAGAAGGTACATTGGATTTGTGAGAATACGTAGCATAGTATTTGCAATCTTGTAAAGCCACTAGTACGCGCAGCGATTCGGGCAGGTCCTTAATCTAACAGATAATTTTACAGATTCCCAAATAGTAAACATATATATAAAATCTCTCCCGCTCAATAGGGCACATTGTCTCCACGGGTTTGCTCGATAATGGCATATCATTTACTCTGTCCCTGTCTACTCTATCGAATCCTATTAGTATTTTATACGCTATAATCATGTCTCCTCGGCCTCCTAACTTTTAACTTAATCAAGAATTACTCGATCTTAGCCTACGAAATGTTGCCTGTTCTAAACTCACAAATAAGCTGTCACTTATGCAGAATATTTGTCAATATAAAGAACTATAGCTCACCTCAACTTCGTCGACGGGGGTACTGAACGTTAACTCCAGGGTGAGGCCGTCGATAGTAACGGGAGCCACAGCGTCGAACGTCGCCATGTACTTGCCGGGGAACTGCGTCTCGATGGCGGTGTGCTCGCACTGCCCCTTTGCTCCTGCAAGCACCAGGAACCCACAGTTACAGCCCCGCTCCTGTGCCAGGTAAGTCCACTACGGGCTCACCACAGCCTGTGCTACTTGCAACTTTTGTTCCGAGTAGCTGAATCTAAAGCAACAACCCAGGAACCCGGACAATACGTGAGGGGAACCACATGTAAGCCTCACATCCCCTCAAAGCATGGAGAAATCATGACAGATGGTATAGTGAATTTATCCTTTGTAACACACTAATATTATTGAGTGATTAAAGCCTTCAGGGATTGAACAGAAAGCTTCGTAACGGCAGCTTGAAGAACAAGAAGGGGGAGGGAGGGTGCTCAACATATCTTCTGTTGATATGCATAATATGAAATTATTTACATTTAAATTAATACATATATAAAACATTCTTTGTAGAGCATTACATTTTTATGAATATATAAGCGGTGAATATTAATACTCACCTAGTGGTACTCACCTAGTTGTGCTTGCGGGGATTGAGCTTTGGCTCTTTGGTCCCACCTCTCAACCGTCAATCTACTGGTGTACAGATTCCTGAGCTTCTCAAGCTCTATCATTTCTACATTTGAAACTGTGTATGGAGTTTAGTGTGTATTCACCTAGTTGTGTTTGCGGGGGTTGAGCTTTGCTCTTTCGGCCCGCCTCTCAACTGTCAATCAACAGGGTTTTTTTACTAACTACTTTTTTTCCACACCACACCACACACCCACACACACACACACACCAGGAAGCAGCCCGTGACAGCTGACTAACTCCCATGTACCTTTTTACTGCTAAGTAACAGGGCCATTCAGGGTGAAAGAAACTTTGCCCATTTGTTTCTGCCTGGTGCGGGAATCGAACCCGCGCCACAGAATTACGAGTCCTGCGCGCTATCCACCAGGCTTCCAGGACCCCTGCCAGGCTACTAGGCCCGCTGTGTGTGTGTGCGTGTGTGTGTGTGTGTGTGTGTGTGTGTGTGTGTGTGTGTGTGTGTGTGTGTGTGTGTGTGTGTGTGTGTGTGTGTGTTTTTAGAGAATACCTGAAAGTAGGATTGTGAGGGCGAGGGCCCCCAGCAGGCAGGTCTTCACTAGGACACCCGCCATGTCTGCAGCAGAAGTAACTGAGGTACTGAACGAATGTACCCGACCCCCCTTATATACCCACCTGATGTGGAGAGAACACACACACACACACACACACACACACACACACACACACACACACACACACACACACACACACACACACACACACACAAGTTAACATATTATCCTCAATAAGTACGTGTGTCGAAGCGAAAAATAATCAGAAAACTATCAGTGAAGAGTTATTTATGGTGTCTTGTTTCCCAGCGGCTTGTGACTTTATCAGGTCCTGATAATGGGGCTCCACTGGGTAGTTAAACCTGCTCTCAACCACCACATCACTTGTAGGTAAACAAAAATATAAAATATGAAATGTGACTGAAAATCTTGTAAACAAAATAGGAAGCCATATTTGAAAACAGTCCAAGAGGAAATGACAGAATTATATGCGAGTTGTCACTCAAGTTGCATTAGCACCAGAGAGTAATATATGCATCACAAACCCGAAGTAGCAGATAAATCCCAGACGTCAGGGAGTCAGTGGCACCGAACAAAGGTCTCATTGACCGATTCATTAAGAGTTGGACGAGTATTGTCCAGAGTAACTCGAACAACAGGACTGCAGGCGATGAGTCACAATAACGTGGCTAAAGTATGTTGACCAGACCACACACTAGAAGGTGAAGGGACGACGACCAGGACGGACCGAAACGTCGTCGTCCCTTCACCTTCTAGTGTGTGGTCTGGTCAACAACAGGATTATCAACAGTCGAAGATGGAAGGACAACAGAAGTAGTAGCATATTCAAAGAAAGCACACTAACGCGCGGCTGAGATTACCCTGATTGTTGGTTCGAATCACCTCATTACTCAATTGATTTTCTAATCCAGTCAGTTCTATCATTAAAAAAAGAAATTACCAATAGACAAAAATATTGTATTAAAATACCTAGACTACCGTAAAGGTTTATAATTACCTGCAGCTTGATAGATTCAGGAAAAATTCGAGCCAGCGAAGTCATGACGTTACGACGAATGGCTGTGCGCTCAGGTTAATCGTTCACTATATGCAGTTAGATCCCACTCCAACCAACGCAGGGTGCTTGAACGGCGCGACGACCTGCTCAGCGTCTCCAGACTCAATCAATCACTTGGAAATTTTTATATCTAAGGTTGTTGACAGCGTTACAATTCCACAGTACAGCGTAACAACATTTAGTTCTCTGTGAATCGTGCACAGTCGAAACTGACAAAAAACTGCTTAAATGCATTTTATTTCAGTAATGTATAGTTCAGTTTTTACAAGGTTGTTGAAATTATCCTCTGGTTTTGTGCAGGTACATGTTGAATGAGCAAATATGGTGCTCGATAGAGTTGTGATGTCACTTACACCGTCAGTCACTCCCCCTCCCCAGTATTACCTCGATTTAACCAATGACAAGCGTCCTCTGAAAGCCCGTGCAAGATCTCTTTGGGCCTGATTGGCTAGTGAGCAAGCAGTCTGCTGTCTGACGTCAGCAGGAGAGCACGCTTCAACTCCGAGCTCTGTACTCAGTCATGAAGATGAGTGACTGTGTGGAGGACATAATCAATAATTTTTATGCAGTGACGATCTCGGACAGAATTTTCAGAAGCTAAACGCCACTGCGAAAGCAGTATCTCTCAGCGGTATGAATACTGCTCGGCTATGAGGCAGCTGGAAGAAGTTGATTGTCGTGCAAAGGAAGACCCTAGCTGTCTGCTGCAGTGATTGCTGTATAAACACTGTTACCAACCTGGTTGTTAGTCTCGATGTTGAGAAACGAGTCAGTGTTGGTGATCTAGTAAACAGCATGAAGATCCTGTAACTTTGCGCCACTAGTTAATGTTAGCCTCCCAGTCAGTGTGTGTCCAGTGTGTACTGACTGCCAGTTCCAACTATCTATTAATTTATTCATGTATACGCTTATCCATCGATCTATCTATCCATCCATCTGTTTATCCATCTACTTGTCTGTCCATCCATCTATCCATCCATTTATACATTCAACTATCTATCCATCTGTCTATCCGTCTTTTTATTCATATATCTATCCATCCGTCTATTCATGTGCCCATCTATCTAGTTACCCATCCATCTACTCATCCATCTTTCCATCTAACCATCCATACATCTATCCATCTAACCATCCATCCATCTATCCATCTAACCATCCATCCATCTATCCATCTAACCATCCATCCATCTATCCATCTAACCATCCATCCATCTATCCATCCATCTGTCTTTGGCTCTGCCTCTATCTCTGCCTCTCTGTCTCTCTGTCTTTCTCTCTGTTTCTCTCTGTCTCTCTGGCCCTGTCTGTGTCTGTCTCTATGTGTATCTCTCTGTCTCTCTGTCGGTTTCTACCTCTGTCTTTGTCACGGTATCTGTCTGTCTCTCCCCGTCTGCCTTTGTCTGTCATGAAATATGTCTGTTTCTCTCTGATTAAAAATATAATTCGCTAATGTGTGGGTGGTCGCCGGTGAGAGGAGCTAAGTGGTGTGACATACTAAACAAAATATAATAGTTACATCTTTACTCTGGGAAAAGTGCGTGGCTTGGGAAACTTTTGAAGTTGTTGGAGGTGGTTTTATGTGAGTACGGGCAAATTATGAATAGCAGGAAATTTCTGTTAAGTGTTTTCGAGATAAATGAGTAATGGTGTATTTTACTATAAGAAAATCGTTTTGAAAAACTTGAAAATATTTAGCTGTGTAGCCGGCGGGCAATGCTAATAATTGTCGTGGGGGTCTGAATGTGACCCTAACACACTGTTCCCTTTTGAATTCTAGTAACCCCGATCAGCCTATGTTCATCCTTTACCCCAGACCATTTCCTCTGCCAATTTAGGCGAGGCTATCCCTAAGTGTTTGGCCTCCAGCTTTGAACAGACTGACCGAGAAACAGACTACAAACGTAGCTCTGAGCCACAGCCACTAACATGGCAACAATGTTATTCCAAGTAATACTCAGACAGCCCTCGCGAGTTGTCACACCACAAAAATTACGTATTAAATTACCCGAACCTAACCCAACCCAGCCTTACCGATGGAGTCCCGCATAAAAAAACGTGGTTGTTTGTGGGCCGCTGTGAATTACAGTGCATCATATTTTGTTCGTTGGGGATTTTGTCGCCAAAATATTATGTATTATTCCAGTGGACCAGTTGTTCAGGAACCCATCATTAATAAACTTAGTATGCGAGTACCAAGTGTTTGCCCCGAGGGACAGACAGAGGATGTCCTCTACGAAGAACAAGATTAATAACACAAACAGGTTTCGTTTTCTACTGCTTTTATTTCAACTACACAGAGTAAGGCGTCTTAATTCAGTTACAGGAAACACACATTTATGAGGAGGATTTTGTAACCAAAATGTGTTATATCGAGTCATGACGGTTTCTTTAACTGAGCTCGACCAAGGCGGCCAGAGCCCCGGAGAAGGCAGCGTTGTAGTCGCAGGCCACCTCGTTGTGCTGGTAGTCCTGGCGGTCGTCGTTGTAGGAGCCGTCCTGCGGGAGGAATGTAAACATTGGGAGTTAGTGATATTGATCAGTGACTGTGATCAATATTATTGAGTCAAATTCCCATTTTAAGGAATAGTTTCATTCTTCGAGTTGCGGGAGCCCATTTTAAGGAATAGTTTCTCGAAGAGATCTTCGAGTTGCGGGAGCCCATTTTAAGGAATAGTTTCTCGAAGAAATCCCTGTTCTGGATAGCTTGTATATGAACCACAGAGAACTTGTTAAAGTTATCATTAACGTTATTAACAAGCCTATAAAATGAACAAATGAAAGTGAGTTTTTTATTTCGAAATATGACTTCCTATGTTTAGGTCAATAACTTTTCTGAAAAGAATTTTGGTAAACTTGGAATGTCGTATAAACTTAGATGTTGATATCCGTGTTCATTTCTGTCCAAGTGAATGAACAGATTGAAACATTGATTGATAAAGATTAAGCCACCTAAGAGGTGGCACGGGCATGAATAGCCCGTAAAACAGATTGAACTAAATACTTGTTTATTATAGTGAGACTGCTAACACTGTTAGCTGAAGCAGCCACCAGAGCGGTGTGAGGAGATAAAGACGAACCTGTGCAGGGCCGCCGACGAGCGCGCCGTACAGGGTGTGCGGGTTGGGACCGTCATAGGACATCATTCCCTCGCAGGTTTGTGGAGGAGACGGGCAGGAGCTGAAGCAGTGGAAACACATGTCAGAAAACTCGCATTTTCCCGTAGTGAAAATTTTCATTAGTATCAGAATTCGGTAATTTCGCTTTCCAGATAACCAAGAACTGTGTTCGTGAAAGTTTACAATAAAATATTCAATATTTTTTTAGCAATACTGTATGGAATAAACTTACTTTTCATATATAGATAGCAATATTTGTTAAATCTAACTCACTACAGTAAGCAACGACATTACTAGTGCTCCGTGATTTATTTATTTTCACCTCCCGGTTGCATTATATTTTGCTTGTTAATGTGCGTGCGTCCGTGCACCTTACCTGGAGCGGTGATGGGGTCTCTGGGGAGGGTCCTCACCGAAGCCCACAACGAAGCTGTGGTATTTCGGGTTGTCTCCCAACAGCTGGCCAATCTGGCCCCGGGCCCACTCCCGGTTGGCTTCTGGGTCAATGCCGTTCTTGGCAGCCTGGAAGATTGAATTCAGTCACCCCGTGTGAGTCTCTGCAACTCCTTCATGTGACTATAATTATAAGTATAGCGTCATGCATAGGTAGTGCAAGAGCTTCCATTCAAGACAATGATACCAGGTTTTTACCGTTTTCCTTTACAAAGGAGAGAGCAACTGACCCAAAGGGCGATGAAGGCGACGTTGGCAGCGTGGCGGTTGGAGCCCCACTGGTCCAGGAAGACCAGACCTTCAGGGGTGTAGGAAGCTGACGTTTTCAGCCAGTTCAGGTACTTGACGAGGGGATCAGAGTACTCACTGGAGCCGTCCAGAAGCGTCAGCAGCGACTGTATCAACGAGTATTCACATTTTTTATTCCCGTTTGTTAGGACTACTGTATTATATGTGAAGTTTAAACATGAAAGAGACGCAGACATATAACATCCAAACTTCTCATTGCTTATTAACATGAACTCACATAGACACCAGCCCTCTTGTCGTCCCAGGCGAACTGCTGCACGTCATCCTTTACGTAGTTGAACTCGTCCCAGTGACCCTTGGCGCGGGTGAGGTAGGCGTCGTCGCCGGTGGCTCTGGCCAACCACAGCGCAGCCCAACCCAGCTCGTCCCCGTAACCACTCCACGAACTGGGGAGAGACAAGGGTACACTCATTGGGTGTAGCTGGGGAGAGACAAGGGTACACTCATTGGGTGTAGCTGGGGAGAGACAAGGGTACACTCATTGGGTGTAGCTGGGGAGAGACAAGGATACACTCACTGTGTGTTGCTGGGGATGCAAGGATACTCTCAATATATGTTATCCCTGTTCACCTTGCAGTAAATAGGTACCTAGGTGCTGGTTAGCGTGTTATGGGGTTGCATCCTGGGGAAGGTCAGTGCTTCAATCCTCTTAGAAACCTCGACATAAGCCTAACATGTATATATATACACTGGCTGCCTGTCCTCGTCACAATGACCTATTATTATTATTATATACAGGCTTGCTGATATTGCTTATTTGATTATACCAACTTGGCGTTAAAGTTCACACATGAAACTGTAGTCTATCTAACACTAAGTTTCGTGTTATGAAACTTTACCTTATTAATCCAAGTGCTGTATAGAAATAATGGCTTAGCATTTTCTCCTCATAATTACTTATCTAACCTTACTAATTCTAAGAGAAACGGCTCCTTTTTAGTAAGTTTCAGAAGGAAGCACATGTGTTTACTTTACATTATATGTACAGGAGGAGAGAGTTTAAACTTGAGATTACTTTTAGAAATATAAAATGAAAAGGTGACCCGGACGGTCATGCGGAGGCATGGAATAAGGAAGTGACGAAATGATACATTAACTAGCGCACGGAACGGATAACTATAACATAATGAGCCTAACTGACAGTCATAAAATCTTTTTTTAACTAAGAGAACACTTAATACGTACTGGTAATATGCAGTTGCGTCTGTGATGGAGTTGTCGTAGATGTCGCGGAAGTTGTCGGCGAAGTCGTAGAGTTCCTTGGCCACGTCCAGCAACTGGGCGGCGTAGGCCGAGTCCACGTCCTGAGGAGGTGAATGGTGACGTGAGGAAAGGAGAGCGGTAACCCAGCGTAAGAGTAAGCGAGAGTTGATACTGTCAAATGTAAGCGAGGGAGGATAAGAAGTGGCACAGTGTCAAGTGCAAATAATGGAGGGTGAGAGGTGGCACTGTCAAATATACTGAGTTATGATGAACCTTCAAGCGGTGGAACAGGATGAAACACCACGAAGATAGTTATTACCTGGAAGACAATGGAGGCTGCGGCGAGGGCTGCGGCTGTCTCCCCGGCCAAGTCGCTACCTGCGGGAGGAAGACGAGAGTCTCAGTAGTGATCATAATTGTACCGCCAGACAGCCCTTAGTGCAGGGTGATGATGTTCTTCCCAGACAAACACAGATCTTGGTAACGTGAGACTCGGGACTTACCGGGCTTCGCTTCGTCGATCTTGTAGGAAGGTCTTTCCATGGTCATGTCCTCAGGGCGGCCCCAGTAGCCGTGGTCAATACCTCCGTTACCCACCTATAAATAACCTTACATGAAATAAATGAAATTACATGTATATACAGATGCACATTGATATATATGGCGTGGATCACCTAATACTCCCATTACTATGATTAAAGTAGCTATTACGAGGCGTAGAGAAGGAATCTCACCTGGCCGTAGAATTCATCAGTGGCAGTGTGAGCCTTGAGGAAGTAGTCTGTGGCCCACTTGATCGCTACCCGAGCGTATTCTGTCTGACCTGTGAGGGAGACACTAGTCATGAGTCTCAGACCACTGTCACATTTAACGAGGGATCTGTCTTCCCTGAATTTTTCTTCTAGCCAAGTTTCAGCTGTACATTAAGTTACAGTTTCATATTAAATAACAGCTTCACAGCATGTTACAGTTTCACACCATGTTGCAGTTTACAAACTACAGATTTGTGTAACATCGGAGGCAACTTGAACCGACTCCCATCATGAGGTACATAGCAATCACCAGGAATAGACAGAATGTTCGTCATGTTGTGGGTAACACAAAAGAAGGGCTTTTCAAACGCACAAATCAACACAACAGAAGGGCTTGTAAGACGCACAACGTGTAACGCAACACTTACCGGCAGTCTCGTATCCATCAGCAAAGTCTATGAGGCCCCAAGCCAGCACAGTGGCGGTGTAAGCCATCGGGAACCCAAACTTGACGTGATCACCAGCTGCAGATGGAGAAAACATGATTTGTTTTTAATGTGATTGATAAAGCATCTCTCTCTCTCTCTCTCTCTCTCTCTCTCTCTCTCTCTCTCTCTCTCTCTCTCTCTCTCTCTCTCTCTCTCTCTCTCTCTCTCTCTCTCTCTCTCTCTCTTCCTTCCTTACCATCGTAATATCCACCAGTGAGGTCGTGGCCCACATCGGAGCCGTCGCCAAGAGCAGAGTCGCCTCGCCAGATGACACGCTGGTCTGCTGGCAGAACACCTGACCGCTGGGCCTCGTAGAACAGGAAGGACATGCACAGTGCCTGAGGGTGAAGGGAGGAGTCATAGAGCAGATAGGTGAGTGTCAGTATTACGTTTTTGAAAATAGAGGGAACGTGAGGGTGAACGTGAAGATAACATGTAGAGAATGCGTGAGGAGGATATATAAAGTTTAGGGAGGGTACATAAAGCGTAGGGAGGGTTGAGAAGGTGTAGGGAGGGTAGAGAAGGTGTAGGGAGGGTAGAGAAGGTGTAGGGAGGGTAGAGAAGGTGTAGGGAGGGTAGAGAAGGTGTAGGGAGGGTAGAGAAGGTGTAGGGAGGGTAGAGAACGTGTAGGGAGGGTAGAGAAGGTGTAGGGAGGGTAGAGAAGGTGTAGGGAGGGTAGAGAAGGTGTAGGGAGGGTAGAGAACGTGTAGGGAGGGTACATAAAGCGTAGGGAGGGTTGAGAAGGTGTAGGGAGGGTAGAGAAGGTGTAGGGAGGGTAGAGAAGGTGTAGGGAGGGTAGAGAAGGTGTAGGGAGGGTAGAGAACGTGTAGGGAGGGTACATAAAGCGTAGGGAGGGTTGAGAAGGTGTAGGGAGGGTAGAGAAGGTGTAGGGAGGGTAGAGAAGGTGTAGGGAGGGTAGAGAAGGTGTAGGGAGGGTAGAGAAGGTGTAGGGAGGGTAGAGAACGTGTAGGGAGGGTAGAGAAGGTGTAGGGAGGGTAGAGAAGGTGTAGGGAGGGTAGAGAAGGTGTAGGGAGGGTAGAGAACGTGTAGGGAGGGTACATAAAGCGTAGGGAGGGTTGAGAAGGTGTAGGGAGGGTAGAGAAGGTGTAGGGAGGGTTGAGAAGGTGTAGGGAGGGTAGAGAAGGTGTAGGGAGGGTAGAGAAGGTGTAGGGAGGGTAGAGAAGGTGTAGGGAGGGTAGAGAAGGTGTAGGGAGGGTAGAGAAGGTGTAGGGAGGGTAGAGAAGGTGTAGGGAGGGTAGAGAAGGTGTAGGGAGGGTACAGAACATGATCTGACAAAAATACTTAATCTTGGTCAAGGGATCACCGGAAGTAAGTCATTATCAAAAGAAGGCACTAAATTATTAAAAAGACCCGTACATCTATATTGAAGACTGAATATAACAAGTAGTTTTTTTATGGACATTTATTTGAGTTTATAATTTTAACCAATTCGAAGTTGCATTAATGATTGCTGTAACCAGAGTGCATGAGGGCCAGAGGAGTTGAACTGTGTGTGGTCACTAACCTGACTGTAGTCGTAGGGCGTTATGCCAGTCTCTTCACAAGGGTTGACCATGGGCGTCGGTGTGGTGAACGTCGTTTCTGGGGGATTACAAACAGAAACTAGCAGACATCCTAAGTGCCTCATATATATATATATATATATATATATATATATATATATATATATATATATATATATATATATATATATATATATATAAATATATATATATATATATATATATATATATATATATATATATATATATATATATATATATACCGACTGCTTGTCCCCCGACACAATGAATTGTTATTAAAAGTGCCATTTTGGACAACTTTAATGGTTATGAATTTAGTTTCTCTGAAATTTAATTTTCTGTATTCTCGTCATGCATTGAACGTGAAGATAAAAAAATAAGTAAAAAAAAAGCCTGAGGCAAACAAGGCGATCTGTTACCTACCCCAGTAAATCGTATTTTTAATAGAATCGTCCTAATCGTCAAATTTACGGAGGGTTATAACAAATTAAAGTACGGTAATACTGAAGTAATCTGAGCGTGTCGGCATCGATAAGCTCGGTGAATTGTCTGAGAACATAAGAATACAGGGGCTTCAGAAGGCCATGTGTGACCATACAGGACAGCTGCTATTTATATATACCCAAACTCACTCACCTATAACATTTAACCTACGCTTGAAACAATCAAGTTCTCCCATATTTATTAATCATACCCATATAATTTGTTCCATAAGTTAACAGGCCCCTGTTCCAAGTGAAGCCACACCATTAGTGAGAGTGGGCTGGGGACCTACCACAGAGCTGGTCGTTGTTGAACACCTCGCCGATCACGTAGGGGATATAATGGTGGAAGGTGAGCTCAAACTTAGAGTGAACGGCTTCTCCCGGGTTGGTGTGGAGGTCCGGCTGCGACAAGATGAAGGTGTAGTCGTCGACCTTGGTCACTGACCCGGCATAGAACTGTCAAGACACATCATAGAACTGTCAAGACACACAGAACTGTCAAGGCACATCATAGAACTGTCAAGGCACATCATAGAACTGTCAAGGCACATCATAGAACTGTCAAGACACACAGAACTGTCAAGGCACATCATAGAACTGTCAAGGCACATCATAGAACTGTCAAGGCACATCATAGAACTGTCAAGGCACATCATAGAACTGTCAAGGCACATCATAGAACTGTCAAGGCACATCATAGAACTGTCAAGGCACATCATAGAACTGTCAAGGCACATCATAGAACTGTCAAGGCACATCATAGAACTGTCACAGTTGATCATAGTACTGTCAAGGCGCATCAAGACTCAGTATGATGGAAACTACGACTTACCGTGAGGGTGTCAACAGGTGAGCTGAAGTGGAGCTCCAGAGAGAGGCTCGTGATGGGGTTAGGCGGGATGTAGGAGAACTCAGCTATGTACCTTCCGGCAAACTGCTGCTCAATCACCGTCTCGGGGCACTGAGCCTCCGCTCCTGCCGGACACACAATACCTCGATAACCACATGAACCATCCACATATATACCTGTCCCCTTACCCTCTCGGGGCTCGAACAAATTCAGTCAGGGTTTATAGTGTATTCATAATATGTATTTCATTACTCAGAGGTATAATTAGTACCTCTGTTCATCTGCGAACAATGTTTGAGGGTTGACTAAAGAAGCATTGAACAGGGAAAGGGAGTTGAGAGGCTGTTGACCAATCCACACACTGGAAAATGAACGGACGACGACGTTTCGGTCCGTCCTGGACCATTCTCAAGTCGATTGTCAAGAGGCTCGGTACTTTAATAAAGACTAAAGACCACTATTCTAAGTGAAGGATAGATGTCTAGATATTATTGGTGTATTTAAAGCCGTCACAAACAAATTCAAAGTTGTCTGTAGGACATTTGGTTCCTATGTATGAGTGTATGTACATAGGAACTTTGAGGGTGGTAAGCGTGCGAGTGCATTGAGGGGGAGAGTACCTGAGAGGAGGGCAAGGGCGAGGGCCCCCAGCAGGCAGGTCTTCACCAGGACACCAGTCATGTCTGCAGCAGAAGTAACTGAGGTACGGGAGGCCGCTGCTCGCCCTCTTATATACCTCCCTGGTGGACGCAGCACTCCCACGTCTTGACGTCACACACGCAGCGTAATCTATTATCCGGAATACCTGCACGCGGCAGAGACAACAACTGTCTGTGAATTGTCACTGAAGAGATGATTACAGTGTTTAGTTTCCCAGCGGCTTCGCCATCTTGTGTCCTTATCTGCTGGGTGCGATAACGGGGCTGCGCTAGGTAGCCAAGCCCACCTTAATTGCGGCGTTATGTGAAGATACCAATGAACTAGAAAAATCAGACAACCTAAACTAATAACGAGAAAAAGAGACGACCTCTAAAATCATTCAGTACAAATTGAACTTGTTGAACTCATTAAAAAGAGACCCGGCACATGTAAATTGACGCTGTTTTTGTTAAAGAAACATCAGAGACACAGCTAATTTATTAGACAACCAAGTTAGTGTTTTATGTGAGAGCAGATCATTTGCGCTACGTGTATGAAGCCATGTACTTACCTAGTTATACTAATCTAGTTTTATTTATAGAGGATGAGCTACAGTTCTTTGTTCCCGCCTCTCTGTGTTTAATCGACTGGCATATAGGCTCCAGAGCTTATTGGGCTCTGTCATATCAACATTTAAAACTGTGTAGGGAGTCTACCTTCTTCACTTCTTAGTGTATTCTAATTGTTCATAATTCTAACTAAATAAATTCTTTCTAATGTCTCTATGGATCATGTCAAGATCTTCCAAAATAGTGCTCTTGAACACAGTTTGCAACATTTTTTCTTCTTTGGACATAAGAAAGGTTCGGAAGTTCCCAAATCGTGTGAATTTTGCCCGGAAGCTGTTCCAGAGGCGTCCTGTATACATTAAGACAAATACTAGAGCCAAAAGATACAATCGTCCCATTAAAAAAAATATGGTTCACAGATTAAACTCAAACTTGGGTTGAATATTCAGTGAACCAGATCCATGTTCACGGTCCCCACCAAATATTTTTAAACCGTTCCTTATATATTAAGATAGTTTAATGTATATATCGTAGAAACAATAACTGCAGTGTCCATTCTTTTTATTAAACAGTTTCATTACTTTTTCCCTACATTACTCAGCAGCCGGCCACACTCTACTTGTGGCCGGCTGCTGTGTTCACTCCAACATGCAAGACAGGCTGAAGTCCGCCCGTGAGAGCTGTAAAAGGCAGATCGTGTGAGAACTAACCAAGTGGGTTGCAAGGAGGTAAACAAAATTTATTTTTTTCCCTGTCGATAGCGTCACCAAGCACGATTCTGGCACGTGAAACTATTGGAAAAAAAGGGGGAGGGGGAAGGCGTTCCCGGGGGACTGGCTCTCTCATAGCGCCTGGTGGGACTGTGTGTGCTCCGACCACCACCACCACCACACCCCTCTGTGGGTGTGTCTTCAGTACCAGCTGAGAGCTAGACGTTGTCGCCATGACAGATTTGTGAATCGGAACCGATTTTTACACCACAAGCGAAGGGAAGGGAAGGGAACTATCAGGAGAAAGCACCAAGCCATTATGACTATATAGCAGTTGGAAGGGGTCAGGATAAGGATTAGGGATGGGACGGGGGGGGGGAAGGAATGGTGCTCAACCACTTGGACGGCCAGGGATTGACCGCCGACCTGCATGAAGCGAGACCGTCGCTCTACTGTCCACCACAAGCGAAGAAATTCTTAAGTGTTCCTCTTCGAGTAACAAACCTCACATTTATGTCGATCATGATCATTAATGAGACCCTCCACAATAATGAGACTCATCCACATTAATGAGACTCATCCACATTAATGAGCTCCTCCACATTAATGAGCTCCTCCACATTTCACAGAGACTCGCCAAACAGCCAACACCACACCAGATGTCATTATCACATAAGAGAGGGAGAAGGAGGAGGAGGAGTCTCACATAGCCTCTCCTCCCATGAGGCTGATGATGACTCAACTCCCACGTCCTTCACAACTTTCACATGTGTTTTTCAGCTATGAAAATCCCTCTTGTGCAGTACAGCTTTCCATACATATTGTTATGTGTATCGTTTAAGGCGAACTGAGTCTACTGTGCCTCCTCGTGACCTCATCCTCTCTTGGTTGTAGAGAAGACTTAAGTGTGTGTGTGTGTGTGTGTGTGTGTGTGTGTGTGTGTGTGTGTGTGTGTGTGTGTGTGCGTGTGTGTGTGTGTGTGTGAGTGTGTACTCACCTAATTGTACTCACCTAATTGTGCTTGCGGGGGTTGAGCTCTGGCTCTTTGGTCCCGCCTCTCAACCGTCAATCAACTGGTGTACAGATTCCTGAGCCTATTGGGCTCTATCATATCTACATTTGAAACTGTGAATGGAGTCAGCCTCCACCACATCACTTCCTAATGCATTCCATTTGCTAACTACTCTGACACTGAAAAAGTTCTTTCTAACGTCTCTGTGGCTCATTTGGGTACTCAGCTTCCACCTGTGTCCCCTTGTTCGCGTCCCACCAGTGTTGAAAAGTTCGTCCTTGTTTACCCGGTCGATTCCCCTGAGGATTTTGTAGGTTGTGATCATGTCCCCCCTTACTCTTCTGTCTTCCAGTGTCGTGAGGTGCATTTCCCGCAGCCTTTCCTCATAACTCATGCCTCTTAGTTCTGGGACTAGTCTAGTAGCATACCTTTGGACTTTTTCCAGCTTCGTCTTGTGCTTGACAAGGTACGGGCTCCATGCTGGGGCCGCATACTCCAGGATTGGTCTTACATATGTGGTGTACAAGATTCTGAATGATTCCTTACACAGGTTCCTGAACGCCGTTCTGATGTTAGCCAGCCTCGCATATGCCGCAGACGTTATTCTCTTTATGTGGGCTTCAGGAGACAGGTTTGGTGTGATATCAACTCCTAGATCTTTCTCTCTGTCTGTTTCATTAAGTACTTCATCTCCTATTCTGTATCCTGTGCCTGGCCTCCTGTTTCCACTGCCTAGTTTCATTACTTTGCATTTACTCGGGTTGAACTTCAACAGCCATTTGTTGGACCATTCACTCAGTCTATCCAGGTCATCTTGTAGCCTCCTACTATCATCCTCTGTTTCAATCCTCCTCATAATTTTTGCATCGTCGGCAAACATTGAGAGGAACGAATCTATACCCTCTGGGAGATCATTTACATATACCAGAAACAGTATAGGTCCAAGGACTGACCCCTGCGGGACTCCACTTGTGACGTCTCGCCAATCTGAGACCTCACCCCTCACACAGACTCGTTGTCTCCTGTTGCTTAGGTATTCCTCTATCCACCGGAGTACCTTCCCTCTCACTCCAGCCTGCATCTCCAACTTTCGCACTAGCCTCTTGTGTGGCACTGTATCAAAGGCTTTCTGACAATCCAAAAATATGCAGTCTGCCCACCCTTCTCTTTCTTGCCTTATTTTTGTTGCCTGGTCGTAGAATTCAAGTAACCCTGTGAGGCAGGACCTGCCATCCCTGAACCCATGTTGATGCTGTGTTACAAAGTTCCTTCGCTCCAGATGCTCCACTAGTTTTTTTCGCACAATCTTCTCCATCAGCTTGCATGGTATGCAGGTTAGGGACACTGGCCTGTAGTTCAGTGCCTCCTGTCTATCCCCTTTCTTGTATATCGGGACTACGTTAGCTGCTTTCCAAGTATCTGGCAGTTCCCCTGTTGCCAGTGATTTGTTATACACTATGGAGAGTGGTAGGCTCAGTTCTCTTGCTCCTTCCTTTAGAACCCAAGGGGAGATTCCATCTGGGCCTATAGCCTTCGTCACGTCCAACTCTAGTAAACACTTCCTTACTTCCCCACTGGTAATCTCAAACTCTTCCAGTGGTTCCTGGTTAGCTATTCCCTCCCTTACCTCTGGAATTTCTCCTTGTTCTAAGGTGAAGACCTCCTGGAATTTCTTATTCAATTCTTCACACACTTCCTTGTCATTTGTAGTGAATCCTTCCGCCCCTATCCTTAATCTCATAACCTGTTCCTTTACTGTTGTTTTTCTCCTAATGTGGCTATGCAACAATTTAGGCTGAGTCTTTGCCTTGCTTGCGATGTCATTTTCGTATTGTCTTTCTGCCTCTCTTCTCATCCTGACATATTCATTCCTGGCATTCTGGTATCTTTCTCTGCTCTCCAGTGTCCTGTTATTCCTATAGTTTCTCCATGCCCTTTTACTTTGCTGCTTAGCTAGCCTACATCTTTGATTAAACCATGGGTTTCTCATCTTCATTTCTCTGTTTTCCTTTTGGACTGGGACAAACTTGTTTGCTGCGTCCTTGCACTTCTGCGTGATGTAATCCATCATATCTTGGGCCGTCTTTCCCTGAGCTCTGTTTCCCATGCTATATCTGTTAGGAATTTTCTTATCCCCTCATAGTTTCCCTTTCGGTATGCTAACCTTTTGGTTTCGGTATCCCTCCTCGAGTTCAGTAACCCTTCTTCAATCAAGTACTCAAACACCAGTACACTGTGGTCGCTCATTCCTACTGGGTCCTCAAAACCGATTTCTCTTATGTCGGAGTCGTTCAGAGTGAAGACTAGGTCGAGTCTCGCTGGTTCGTCATTGCCTCTCATCCTTGTGGGTTCTCCGACATGCTGCGTTAAAAAGTTGCTTGTCACCACCTCCAATAGTTTGGCTCTCCACGTATCCTCGCCTCCATGCGGTTCCTTGTTCTCCCAGTCAATCTTTCCGTGATTGAAGTCGCCCATGATGAGCAGGTGGGATCTATTTCTACAGGCAGCAGAGGCTGCCCTCTCAATTATAGTGTTAACTGCCTTGTTGTTGTTTTCATACTCTTGACTGGGTCTCCTGTCATTTGGTGGAGGGTTGTATATTACTGCTACTACTATTCTTGGTCCTCCCATTGTTATGGTGCCTGCTATGTAGTCTCTGAACTCCTCACAGCCCGGGATGGCCATCTCCTTAAAACTCCATTCCCTTCTCATGAGTAGGGCCACTCCGCCTCCTCCTCTACCTTCCCTCTCTTTCCTTATTACTGTATACTCCTGGGGAAACACGGTGTGTGTGTGTGTGTGTGTGTGTGTGTGCGTGTGTGTGTGTGTGTGTGTGTGTGTGTGTGTGTGTGTGTGTGTGTGTGTGTGTGTGTGTGTGTGTGTGTGTGTGTGTGTGTGTGTGTGTGTGAGGGAGAGAAGCCTGAGACGTCGTCGTTTCTTCCCTTTCTGATGTGTGGTTTAGCCATCATCTGGTAGTATGAATCACCTGAAAGTGTGTATCAGATTTGATTATGTATCACCTGAAAGTATGTGTCAGATTTCATTATGTATCAGATTTCATTATGTATCAGATTTCATTATGTATTAGATTTCATTATGTATCATCACGTGTCAGTATATATCTCGTGTCAGTTTTGGTCACGTGTTAGAATGTATAATACTTTAGTATATTTCAGCTACCAGTACATAGCATGTGTCAGTAGGTATCAAAGAAGTATATATATCCTGTATGTATCAGGTGCCAGTATGTATCACTTATCAGTATGTATTACATGTTGTCGTTGTTGTTGTTGTTGTTGACTTAGGGGACCGCGACGGCAGAGGTGCCCAATGTGTCCCGGCATTCACTTACAAGGTAAAACGCAAAGCCTTGTGGGTATATGAACGCCGCCTGTCGGTGGAAACGAACGCGCTCTGCGGCAAATAAACGCACTGATGGGCAGATGTTTGGGAAGCCCCTGGAGTACCCCAGGGAAGCAAGCACGGGGCCCCGCCCTACACACAGAGAACACTGGGTAACCACACACAATCAAAGCAAACAAAAAAAGTGGTCTGTCTTGAACTCGTACCCCCAAAAAAATAATGTTTTCCAGTGCGCTCCTGTAGAGCAGAAGGCGGCCGCCCACCACGTCCTCAGGGCGCGCCAAGAGCTCGCCAAGACCCACGAACCCTTGGCACCGCTCGGCCAACCTGGCGCCAGTCACCGTCTACCCGCCCGAAGAACCTGCCAGAAAGCGTTCAAAGTCTATCAACATCCTTGTGACCAAAATGCGCCAGGCGTCGTAACAATCCTGATCGTTGAATTGGATTGATCAGGACCAACCCTGCTGGGTGGTGCGAGGGGGTCCTGGGTGGTAGGGTGATGTCATCAAAATTGACGTTATTGAAATTAATTTTCTCTGCTTAGGTTAAAGTATCATAAGTAGAACATTTATTGTAATGTTCCCGGACCCGTCCATGTTGGGCACGTATCACACAGTAATCACTGTGCGAAGTTGGGTGAAGCTTACCCCAATCTTTTGGCCTCTAATATCGAAAAGACACTAATTTTCAGGTATAAATATACTAGATGGGGTACCCGGAGGTGCCCAGGTACCCCACCTAGTACTCGGTTCACCCCCCTCCCCTCCTCTCTCTCTCTCTCTCTCTCTCTCTCTCTCTCTCTCTCTCTCTCTCTCTCTCTCTCTCTCTCTCTCTCTCTCTCTCTCTCTCTCTCTCTCTCTCTCTCTCCCCTCTCTCTCTCTCTCTCTCTTTCTCTCTCTCTCAGAAAATGTAATATGCACATTCATATTATTCACAGTTTAAATAATATACCATGAAAATTAAGCGTCGAGAATAAAAAGGAAAACACGTCCACGATTTCATTTCACACCATGAAAATTCTAGGGGATCGCTATAAATGCCGATTTTGTTTATAGAATGGTACTTGGGCTTTCCCGACTGGTCAGTGACACTCCCATACCGCCACTGTTTCATGTTGAAAAGTTAGGACAGGCTGGCTCTAATCTCGGAGTCAGATAGACATTAGTTTTTGTAGATATAGCTATAAATAATGTTTATTAATAGATTGTACATTATACATATTAATATTGTAGCATCTGTAAACTAATAAAACAAACGAGGATAAACAGGAATAATTGTGTCAGATTGATTTATTAGCATTAAGTTGTTTATTTACATTTTAATTGATAGGGTAAACAGGTCCGTCGATACCTCGGATCATCGTGTGGCCGTATGGTAGAGATATCAGCTGGGCATGGTAGTGCCCACTATCTTAGACTAAAATGGAATTATAAATTATGTTTGCACCCACTGGTGACATTATCAGAGGGCACCGCGTCTCTTCAAATACATTTTCAACTGGGTAGGTTATTACGGCAGGGGCTGGATTTCTCGCTATTGTGATTTTCACCCCAGTTATCTTGGGTACGTGTTGAAGGTTATCCTGAGCTGATCTCGACCATAGCGGCCATGGCGCCTGTGAAGCCAGCGTTGTAGTCGCAGGCCACCTCGTTGTGCTGGTAGTCGCCGCGGTCGTCAGTCCAAACGCCGTCCTGGGGAACAGAGACTGTGGTATCAGTGGTGAACCGGGAACACAAGAATGAGAAGATCAGAGGGACGAAACGATGGTTAGAACCAAGGTAAACTTTTAATGTACACAACTATAGTAAAGTTGACCGCAAAACTTACGAAGATCAGACTAATATATCAAGATCAGACTAATATATCAAGATCAGACTAATATATCAAGATCAGACTAATATATCAAGATCAGACTAATATATCAAGATCAGACTAACGTATGAAGCTTAAACTGACGTATGAAGCATCAGACTAGCATTTGAAGCATTAGCAAATTAGGAATAGTGCTACTTGAGAGTTATCGAACCGGTATGAGACGGCAAGTACTTGACAGCTGAAAGAATGTTCCAGGTACAGAGAGAGAAACAAGAAGCACTGCATCAACTTACCGCACCAGGACCGCCGACGAGGGCGCCGTAGAGGGTCTGTATGTTGGGTCCTGGGTTGTTGAAGGCGCCGTCACAGGACTCGGGAAGACTTGGGCACGAGCTGAGAAGAAGCCAAAATAAGAACCCGCTTACTTCAATAGGGGTTTGTATTTACGGGTTATTCACGCCCGTGCCACCTCTTGGGTGGTTTAATCTTCATCAATCTATAGGGTATGTGTGTGTACTCACCTAGTTGTGTGTGTGTGTGTGTATGTGTCTGTCTGTGTGGGCGCACGCGTGGATCTTACCTGGAGCGGTGGTGGGGTTTCTGGGGAGGGTCCTCACCGAAGCCCACAACGAAGCTGTGGTATTTCGGGTTGTCTCCCAACAGCTGGCCCACCTGACCCCGGGCCCATTCCTGGTTCAGTTCTGTCTTAATACCATGCTTGGCGGCCTGCAAGATTAAAACAAATTATTAATTATAGCTTATAAGCATTGCCCGGCTGTTCCTCTGAGTTTTAAAGAACGAAATAAAGATAATCTCGAGGCTAGATTGCAAAATAGCTTCCACATTCTACTTTAGTTCCTGAGCACATTACGTGTCTCGAACATTTCCACGACAACGCTCATAAGATGGTGCATAATCAGTATATTAACCCGAAATGTTCTAGTTCTTTGGTAATTCAAGGTACAGATTTACCATGGGCTGGCCGATAGAGCGACAGTATCGCTTCATACAGGTCGCGTTCAATCCATCCAAATGGTTCGCCACCATTTCTTCCCCCCCCCCCCCCCCGTCCCATCCCAAATCCTTACCCCTTCCAAGTACTATATAGCCGTAATGGGTTGGCGCTTTCTCCTGATAATTCCCTTACCTTAATCTGTCGTATATGTAGAATTACTGCCTCGCAATACTAATATTGTCGTAGCTTTACAACGTACTCAGAGGTCACTACCTCTCCGTAGGGTGCAGTCGCACCTCCTCAGATCTCCAGTATAAGCTATTGATACTGGTAATGGCTCAAAAGGGCCACCACTTACGGGCTACTCATGTCCGTGCCACCTTTTGGGTGGCTTAATCTTCATCAATCATCAATCTACAAGGCACTCACCCAGAGGGCCAGGAAGCAGGCGTTGCCAACGTCGCGGTTGGAGCCCCACTCGTTAAGGAAGACCAAGCCCTCCGGGGTGTAAGGAGCGCCGTCCTTCGCCCAGTCTAGGAAGTCATTGATCAAGTTCTCGTACTCAGCATCGCCGGTCAGCAAATAGAAGAGCGACTATAGTGAAGAGGAGAAGGAGAGATGAAGATTAGCGGACAGTCACAGTTTCTGATAAAAGTGTAAAACACAAGTCTGGGGTAGAAAATTAAATAAAAACAGTCATTCCCTAGATCAAGACTCGGCGTGGTAAGATCTAAGATTTCTTTCACCCTTAGAACACGTATTGCCGTAACTCGCTGCTAGCCATTAAATATGTAGGAGACTGTGACATACACAAAACCCACATAACTCATAAACAAATAATACACATACACATTGCGGTGAATAACATGACCGGTTCCAGTACCTGGCACCAGGCATATACCTAGTCATAAGTGACTTACATTGATTCCACCTCGTTTGTCGTCCCAGCCGACATTGCCTCCATAACCGCCGAGACCAAACTCGTCGAAGTGAGCTCTGGCGCGAGAGACGTAGTTGTTGTCACCGGTGGCTCTGGCCAACCACAGCGCCGCCCAGGCCAGCTCGTCCCCGTATCCGCTGAACGAGCTGAGGAGAGGCAAGACTACGGTCACTGTGTTGCTGGGGAAGTAACTCCACTAAACATAACAAACTCACCGGGAAGTTTCAAGTATAAATAGAACACGTGCATGACTGGGAGGAATTATTATAATAGGGAGCTGCCTCGTATGGACCAACAAGTCTTCTGAAGATTGTGAAATTATGTCCGTGGTACAGTGACGTCACCCATGATTAATAGATCACTGTCTCCAGTACACACAGGGATATATATAATATATAATATAACAAATAGCAGCAACAGTGCAATATGCTCCTATGACCATTAATTTATTAAGAGAAAACTAACTTCTACTCCAATAACCGTCAGCTTCCCATGGCACCATGCTAAAATTATCACCATATTTAGGACCTACAGATATAATCGAGATCATAAACATATATAAGATCATAAACACTTGCAGTAATTACTAATTTAAGCAAATATTATACAATACGCTGTTAATCGTAGCACTTTATCTACTTTTGTAATGTTTTCAAATATGAAGTTTCCTGTAATTTCTGTAAGTTGGTCACAAATACGTGTTGTGCTGTTTGCTCACCACCAGGAAGGCAAAACATCATATTTTTTTTAATATTTTAACATAATTACAATACCTGATTAGGGAATAATAGCAAGTTAGAACTACTGTTGTGAATGTAGCAGTTTGCTGGTGGCTGACATGTGTTGCTTCCCCACTTGCTGTTGCAACCCGTTCTCGCAAATTTAATAAGTCAATATTGACTTATTAAATATGTGCATAGATGACATACTTAACATAATAGATACCCTTAAAAAGATTCATAGAAAACACCGACCTTACCTAACCTTGTTAGTATCTTAAGATAAGCATCTTATTGCTTCGTAATTACAATTATTACCTAACCTATAATAGGTATAGGTTAGGTAATAATTGTAATTACGAAGCAATAAGATGCTTATCTTAAGATACTAACAAGGTTAGGTAAGGTCGGTGTTTTCTATGAATATTTTTAAGGGTATCTATTATGTTTAGTATATCACCTATGCACGTAGTTAATAAGTCAATATTGACTTTACGAATTTGCGAGAACGGGTTGCTGACCCACAGGACCAAATCACCCATTGAGGCCGCTTACCTATTTCCAGGTATTAACAGCTGCGGTAATAATAGTATAAAGACTTATTTGAACCACCGTAAACAACATTATCTTTGTGGATCACTAATATCAAAGAGTAAAGACACTGAACGCCTCGACAGCTCTGCACCGTCGTGACCTTCAGGAAGGTAAGAATACTGAGCAAAGAGTTTCTTAAGAAGCGTCGAGACTTGACACATCGTTATTCTTTAACGTGGATTCACAATTCGTAACACTTAAGATGTGCACGTTTTAAGGCATTCAAGCAAAACAACTCTAGGTTATTATTATATAAACCCGTGCTGGTACTTGTACTCTACGGTGACACGCACTAGCAGTTGTATTATACAATGACACGCACTAGCAGTTGTATTATACAATGACACGCACTAGCAGTTGTATTATACGGTGACACGCACTAGCAGTTGTATTATACAATGACACGCACTAGCAGTTGTATTATACGGTGACACGCACTAGCAGTTGTATTATACAATGACACGCACTAGCAGTTGTATTATACAATGACACGCACTAGCAGTTGTATTATACAATGACACGCACTGGCAGTTGTATTATACAATGACACGCACTAGCAGTTGTATTATACAATGACACGCACTAGCAGTTGTATTATACGGTGACACGCACTAGCAGTTGTATTATACAATGACACGCACTAGCAGTTGTATTATACAATGACACGCACTGGCAGTTGTATTATACAATGACACGCACTAGCAGTTGTATTATACAATGACACGCACTGGCAGTTGTATTATACAATGACACGCACTAGCAGTTGTATTATACAGTGACACGCACTAGCAGTTGTATTATACAATGACACGCACTAGCAGTTGTATTATACAATGACACGCACTAGCAGTTGTATTATACAGTGACACGCACTAGCAGTTGTATTATACAGTGACACGCACTAGCAGTTGTATTATACAATGACACGCACTAGCAGTTGTATTATACAATGACACGCACTAGCAGTTGTATTATAAAATGACACGCACTAGCAGTTGTATTATACAATGACACGCACTGGCAGTTGTATTATACAATGACACGCACTAGCAGTTGTATTATACAGTGACACGTACTGGTAATAGTAATAGGCGTCCTCGATAGACACATCGTACTGCATACGATAGTTGTCGGCGAACTCGTAGAGCTCCTTGGCAGCCTGCAGAACCTCTGCGGAGTAGGCCGGGTCTGCGTCCTGTGAGGGGTAGGTGAGGTTAGCGCGGCAGAGGTTAGCCAGAAGAGGCATAAGACAAAGGTTAGCGAGGGAAAGAAGAGGCGGAGATTAACGAGTGGGTGTTTCATCATAGGAACACAAAACCCTTCTCACAGGTTAATAATTACCGTAGAGGGAGGGAGTTGAAGAACAGCAGGTAGTGTATCGACCAATGGCTGGCTCGCCAGTGTTCTCGCGACCTGCTGCTCTCTCTAGTATGAGCTAACACAATTTTTCCCCTTTAATTCCTCTTGGTGAATGTTTAGTTAATACTGACCTTGAAGACAATGGAGGCGGCAGCGAGGGCAGCAGCGGTCTCCCCGGCCAACTCGCTTCCTGCAAGGGAGACACGGTGTTAGGCAGACTCTGAACGCTTTAGCCAAATAATATTATTTGACTAAGGCGTTCACTCACAAATTTTTGTAATGAATTTTAATTATATCAGGTGAAAAAAGGCAGTGAATATAACAAATATGTTGGTCAGGAAAATAACTAACCTGGATTTGTTGCATCGACTTTGTAGGAAGGTCTTTCCATGGTCATCTCCTCAGGGCGACCCCAGTAGGCGTGGTCTACGTCGCCTTTGCCCACCTGGAAAATAAAACGATATTTGTTTAACCTAATAGCAGTCGAAATCTGAGAAATTCCCTTTTTCTACATCTACTTTTAACGTTAGAAAGTCGACGTTAGAAAGTCATTCGTAATTATTTTGTTACCTTTAAAATCAAATTTATAAGTTTATGTGTTTATCTATTTTGCAGTCAAAACAATAATTAATAATAATTCTCTCGTGCATCATATATTTATTGCTTACATCAATGTCTGGTATATCTAAGCTGCTAATAGACTGGATGGTCTTGAACAATACGGAAGCAATGCTCACCTGGCCGTAGAGCTCGTCCTGGGCAGTGTGAGCCTTGAGGAAGTAGTCAGTAGCCCACTTGACCGCAGCCCGGCCATACTCCGTTTGACCTGTGGACACGACCAGGACCATGAGCCTCTCTGACCATGGGAGAGCAGGACGGATTATACTCGTCTGAAGTAACCCTCAGATATAATTTCCAATTCTCAGGGACACGAAGCCTGTTAGACTTATCGAACTTCCCCTAAGCCGACTGCTGATCTTCGCCAGGAGGCATCCCACAACAGTTGCCTAAGCCCTAGGTACTTATTTACTCTTAGTTGAACATTGGACTGTAATATTTACCGGCTGTCTCGTGTCCGTCAGCGAAGTCCACGAGGCCCCAAGCCAGCATGGTGGCGGAGAAAGCCATTGGGAACCCAAACTTGACGTGGTCGCCAGCTGTAGATAAGAAAGCAATAAAAATTTACAAACTAATACAGTATATGTCAAGAGGTGCTTCTTTCGTAGTAATAACCACAATTTCAAATTTCACATTGTTCTCCAGTTTTTAAACAAGATCAAGGTTCCATAGGACTGGTATTACCATTCCTACAGATATCAGTAAGTATGAGCGTGATTGATGGTTCTAGTGTTGGGTATGAAGGAGATACTCTGTAGAGTATAATCATTGATGTGGTGTAGCACAAATGTTATTCTCAACGCAAGAACTCCTGATACAGCTAATATTAGCAATTAGATCTGTAAGCATAACACGATCACAGCGTCATTTGACCCTCCATAGGTGATCACATAACATCTTGTTCAAGGTCTTAATAATAATTCTTCAAGTTAAAACCTCTCTCTCTCTCTCTCTCTCTCTCTCTCTCTCTCTCTCTCTCTCTCTCTCTCTCTCTCTCTCTCTCTCTCTCTCTCTCTCTCTCTCTCTCTCTCTCTCTCTCTCTCTCTTTCTCTCTCCCTCCCCCCCTCCCCCCCCTCCCCCCCTCCCCCCCTCCCCCTCCTCCTCCCCCCTTACCGTCGTAGTAGCCGCCAGTAAGGTCGTGGCCAACATCAGATCCGTCTTCAAGAGCGGAGTCGTAACGCCAGGTGACGCGCTGGTCTGCTGGCAGAGGTCCTGACCGCTGGGCCTCGTAGAACAGGTACGACATGCACAATGCCTGAGGGTGGAGGCGCTAGACTTAAGGCAAAAGGACACGGTTTCAAAGTGCTGTGAGAATATATATGCTAATGATTTAATTGATGAGCAATATATTACAGAACATAAATTATATCACATGTATGCTTAACAGGAACGGAAGGATGTTAATTAAATGCTGTGGGGTAAGGGCCTTGCATCAAGGGTGAGAGTTCTGTTGTTCAGAGTTCAGGCAGTAGTAATGTTGCGTAAGATTCCACTGTTGTATACTTCAGCTATAAAAGACTGTGTGAAGGGTGAGTGACCAGTGAGCAAAAGCTTAATTTTCGGATGATTACTCAGCTCTCAGGCCTACATATGTATGTTCTTATCTTAAAGACCTACAGGTGAATTGTTTTTATTCCAAGTACTTGGTACTCTCAAGACCAGAGTAGTAACTTCATTAAATCTGAGGTAGGGAAAGATTTCTTGGATATTAAGATCATTGGCCAACTAGTGTGATGGTTACCAGAAGTCTTGCCCTCCCTGGTAGTTGACTGTCAACTAGTGTGACTGTGTTGATACACGCTGTTGTACTGGTTTGTCATTGTTAAGATCCTCTTCGTCTGTACCATTACTTTTCCTTAAGAAAGTGCATCACAACTATCCTTCAAGGAATTTGTAGCAGATCCGCTTTGTGAGAGTCGACGGTCCAGTCACCAGGTCTGACTGTCTTACCCCTCTAGCCACCACTGTCGGTCAGTGACTGTGACTGCCGTCTGTCCCTCGTCGTGACGAATATGTGTGGTGTTTTAACTGTCAAGATTCTGCCTGAACGAACCATTAACCTATGTATACTGAACACCACCTGAACCTTGTGTCCCTGCTCTGTTTTAACACATTTTGAACCCTCTTGACTGTTAGCAAAGGTACTGTAACTCTGTTTAACTGCGGGGACGAGGACGTTGGAGACACTGACCTGGATGTAGTCGTAGGGTTGCATGCCCGTCCCAACGCAAGGGTTGACCATCGGTGCGGGGGTGACGATCACCGCGTCTGACAACCGAGAAAACAAACATTACACACACAGAAATCACAATAACTTGATATATCAAATGAACAAATCCACAAGGGTCTTGCTGAGGGTTCGAATCTATGCGATGGATGTTCCCAGACGCACTGCGTGGTACAGTTGACTAGAGCGCGTCTGAGATCATCCAGCGAATAGGTTCGAACACTCATCAAGGCCCTTGTGGATCTGTTCAAACAAACATTAGTAGCCTTCGTCGAAGTAATAGATGGTGATGAAGGAGGTGGTGAGGGAGATGGTGGTGAAGGAGGAGGTGGTGATGAGGTAGATGGCAGTGAGGATGTGAAAATAAAGGATTTACCGGGTAATTTTATTTATGTTAAGAAAAGGATACAATATGGAACACGAAGACGGGGTTGTAAAGACGGGAAAAACAGTAAATTGAAATAACATAAACGGAAAGACTTTATGTATAAGAAAATAGAAACGAACAAAAATTCAAGCCAGTTACGACAAGAAATAATTGGTTTCTGCTTAGTTTATATATATATATATATATATATATATATATATATATATATATATATATATATATATATATATATATCACAGATAAAAAGGGTTACAACACGTCATGGTCGCCATCAACCGGGTGTCAGTGCATGTCAAGCACAGGTCTTCACGATCAATGTGTCACACAACTCGGGGATTTTATGTTTGGGATTTCCTCTTCGTTTTGTCGACAAAGAAACGCAAAATATAAAGCAGATAATCTCAGTTTTGCTTTTCCTCTCTATTATATATTAAACGAAAAATTCTCTGTTTTTCTGTCTTCTATACATTAATTGATAAATTCTGGGTGCTGTCATGTGGTAACAGACACAAACAGCTAACAGACACAAGCAGACAACGGCACGGAGCACGAGACTCCACAGACAGATAACACATACCGCAGATCAGGTTGCCGTTGACATATTCGGTCTCCACCAGTGGTCTGATCTGGGAATATTCTACTCGGAATCTGAACATTATATTTTCTCCAGCAGACAGGATGAAGGGGGCGGTCAGTGTGAAGTGGTAATCATCGATCTTGATGGCCTCGCCCGCGTAGTTCTGTTCACAAACGTGTAAACCTCTGTTTATCTCGTTACTGAAGCTTTTTTTAATAAAAAAGATAATACCTAATAAACATATTAATAGTTTCTAAAGTAATAGAAGTATACTTTAAGAAATACTTTAAGAAGTATATTTAAAAAAATACTTCAAGAAATATTTTAAGGATTAATTTAAGAAATAAGAAATATCAATTTAAGAAATATTTTAAGAAATTTCCTATACACAAGTCACTACAGAAGTTACTACACACAATTTATATTACTACAATCAAAAGGCTGTGCCCAGAATGCAAATTTATCCGATCATTGGTTTTTCACGTCAATATGTGAATACACTACCAGTTAAATTGTGTGTGTGTGTGTGTGTGTGTGTGTGTGTGTGTGTGTGTGTGTGTGTGTGTGTGTGTGTGTGTGTGTGTGTGTGTGTGTGTGTGTGTGTGTGTGTATGTGTGTGTGTATGTGTGTGTGTGTGTGTGTGTGTGTGTGTGTATGTGTGTGTGTATGTGTGTGTGTGTGTGTGTGTGTGTGTGTGTGTGTAAGAGAAATATATATGTAGTAAACGTAATAGATAAAAAATAAATTGGCTAGAAAGGCGGGGTCCAAGAGCTAATAGCTCGATTCTGCAGATACAAATAGTATATACAAATAGTAAATACACACACACATCACATAATTCATGGTCACTTAAACCAGTGTAACACGCCGATTTGTTAATCCAATTATGGTATCCAGACCATAACAAATATATTGTTTTTAAGACCCACTTGTACGGTCGTTTACATAATGGTAGTGTCAAGAACCTCAAGGCAGTCGTGAACGTACCTCAATAGTGTCTACGGGTCTGCTGAAGGACATGTCAACAGTGAGGCCGACCATGTCTGCTGGAGCCGGAGCGTTGAAGTCTGCCTGGTAGTTGCCTTCCCAGGCGTTGATGATGACGACGTTGTCACACTGCGCATGCGCTCCTGAGACATAAACAAAAGGGAGGTTATTATTCATCACAGCAGGGTGCAAAAGGGAAAGAAATACTGTCATAGCCCGCAAGCCTACACAGAGCTGACTAGTCTCTTGAGTTAGGGCTAGTAGGCCTGGTCGACGACCGGGCCGCTGGGACGCTAAGCCCCGGAAGCACCTCAAGGTAACCTCAAGGTAGTATTCGTCTTTTTGTAATTAAAGTTTACATAGTATTCCATATTAAGTGTTTCTAAGATTTGTGAGAGCAAAGCCTCTTTAAAAATGCTTCTTTGAGTTTGTCGGGCTAGGAGGCACAAGTTACATTTAATAGTTAATAATTATTTTTAAATTATTAATTGATATTTGAAATATCATGCAAACCATAACTTTGATTTCTGCAATATGAAACTATGTTTGGTTGCTGAGGTGTGAGAGAGAGATACCTGAGAGGAGGGCGAGGGCCCCCAGCAGGCAGGTCTTCACCAGGACACCGGCAGCCATGTCTGCAGCAGAAGAGACTGTGGTACTGGACGAGTGTACCCGACCCCTAATATACCTGCTGCACACGTGATAGCTATGTGACACCCGCCTCCTGACGCCACACACAGGCAAAGCCAGGAATTACAAGTTGCACTCGAAGGGTTGGAAACATTATTATCTTTGGCTTCTTCAGCTGCTATTTTCCCAAGTGTGTTATCGTCATCTACATCGAACGATAAGGAAATTAAACTAATTAGCCGAGCCACTACTTTATCGAAAATATATCTGCGAGTATTAATTGTGTCAGTGATAATGTGAGTCGCAAATTGTTTTAATTGGTCAAAGTAATCCCCGATTTCATCAAATCATTTATTCATTCTGGTTAATTAGTTTAACTTAAACTGCGGCTCCAAATGAAACAAGTGTGATGTTGTTCAGGAGTGAAGGAAGGGAATTATCAGGAAAAAGTGCCAATTCTATATAGCACTTGGAAGGGGTCAGGTTAATAAGGATTTGGAATGGGACGGTGGGAAGGAATGGTGCCCAACCACTTGGAAGGTCGGAGATTGAGCGCCAACCTGCATGACGCCAGACCGTCGCTCTACCGTCCAGCCCAAGTGGTTGGGCTGGACGGTAGGACAATCACTTGTTCATTAAATGAACAGAGGTATCAAATGAAAGAATTTCTGTCCATTTGTTCGTTTATCTGTCTGGAATTGATCCCTGGTTCGTAGATTGCGAATCCCAAACGCTGTCCGCTTGGCCGCGAAACTTGCCAAATAAATGTAAATCTGCTTATATTAACTTTGTAGGTGAATTTTATACATATGTTTCACTAGGAATTTCAGGAGCTGTTTCACCAGAAATTTTTGCTAAAATAAACACAGCTATTTTTTTTGTCCCGCCAATTTTTGCTAAAATAAACACAGGGAGCCGGTCGGCCGAGCGGACAGCACGCTGGCCTTGTGATCCTGTGGTCCCGGGTTCGATCCCGGGCACCGGCGAGAAACAATGGGCAGAGTTTCTTTCTCCCTATGCCCCTGTTACCTAGCAGTAAAATAGGTACCTGGGTGTTAGTCAGCTGTCACGGGCTGCTTCCTGGGGGTGGAGGCCTGGTCGAGGACCGGGCCGCGGGGACACTAAAGCCCCGAAATCATCTCAAGATAACCTCAAGAAGATAACCGTATAATTAATTAATGAAGGAAGGTTCGCCATAAACCATAGAACCTCCCTTAATTGACTGATATGGTAATGAAAAATAACTCGGAAATCTATTCAGACTCACTTAAGTCCTGCGTAGCTTGGACTCTCCTATCCTGAAGGAGCTCATAAGTTCCTTGATGGCCATCACACGCTTCTTGATCAGAAGGTTATCCCATAAAGCGGGTACAGGAGGTCCCAACAGCCTCAAAAAAATGAGTCTACAGAAGAAGCGTGTTGCTTCTGTATCCATTCGTAACTTCTGCAACACATAACATAATCGCTGATATAAAAAAGTGTGAATCGGCTTTTGATCCTAAAATGTCTTATATTTACGTTTTTCCCTTCGAATTAAGCGAACGAATTTACCGTCGCTCTACCGTCGAAGGCCCAAGTGGTTGGGCCTTCCATGTGGAAAGTTTATTTACAAACGATCCGACTGAAAGAATTGTTAATATAATACTTGAGTACATATACCGAGAACAACAGGATCTTCTTGCTGGGGGTACCTCAAACTAGTATTTACGATATGTTTTAAGTCCTTGTAGTACACATGAGTGTGGCGGTCCAGAGGGGGACACGCCTGTTGTGTCATCAGTTCCTTCCCGGAATCTGAGCTTCGAGAGATCCACCACCAAACCTTACTTATCACTGTAATCAACAACTTGTAACTTTGTGCGTGTATGTATGTGTGCGTGTGTGAGCGTGCGTGCGTGTGAATGGCAAGGTGGAAGAGTGGGTGTGAGTGTGTGTGTCTGAAAGTGGGTGTGTGTGGGAGAGGGAGGTCTGGGAGTAGGGGTGTGTGGACTGATAAGGAAGGGAAAATCCTGGGCTCCACCCAGAGCCCCATCTGGACCTCTCGGCTGGCTACATGGTCGAGATTGTAATGATGGTCTCTGTAACTAGGGGTGGTGGTATCTGGGCTGAACGGTAGAGCGATGGTCTCGCTTCATGCAGGTCAGCGTTCAATCCTTTCAGCTAGGGGCCTCTATGCCCCTTGGCAGTCTAGTACTGTAACCACTCAACCACCTAATGTACTTTTGTACAGTCGGTGTTCCAAGTATATGTAGTCTTCTCTGGTCATTGGTGGATGCCAGTATTGTTGAATTATCTACTACCATGTTCCTAGTGAGCGTTATGTTATGGTCACTTTGCATATGGTTTTTAGGAGCACCAGCTTGTAGATGGCAGGTGGAAAGCGTTATGGTAGTTATACCAATATAAGTAGATCGAACGTGACATCCTTCATTGAGGCATTTATATTGGTGTACCACATTTGCTTTTTGGAGAGTGTTACCCTGTTTATAGGAGCTGTTCTTTAGTATTAAATCAGCAGTTCTTTTTGTTTTGTAGTAAATACTAAACCCACCAACACTGGAATGTGTATGAATAGTCACTACGAATGTCCAGACAAATATAAGACAAGTGTAATAAACACATTTATACGCAGAGCCCTTACTCGCTGTTCTGACTGGCATAACACCCACACGGAACTGGACACTGTTCTTCACGTATTAATAAACAACGGGAACACGAATAGAGAAGTCAACACCCATATCAGAAGATATTTAGAAAAATAGTATAACAGAGAACGACCGCCACGGCACCAACCCCCTCTCATAAAACTGTTACAAATCCACTATGAGCTCACAATACAACACTGAAGAAAGAATTATTAAAAATATAATTCCAAATGGAGTAAAACCGGCAGCCCCAGACCGAAGACTGGAATTCATTATTTACTTAGTGATTTATAGCTTGTGGCACCAGTTAAGCTTTCTTTCATTCATATATATATATATATATATATATATATATATATATATATATATATATATATATATATATATATATATATATATATATATATATTGAATATTGCATCTTTTTTCACCACAAGAGCAGCAATTGTAGACTGATCAAATAAACGAGGCTACTCAAGGAAATATATCAATGTCTCATTTATTAACATTATGTTGATGTTTACATTTTAATTGATGGTTAAAGTTAACAAATTCGGTCGATAATCTGGATGACCTTATGGCCATCATGTATAAATATCAGCTGCCCACTATCTTGGCCGAAATTGGAATTATAAATTGTGTGGGCGCCCACTGGTGCCTCCATCAGGGTGCACCGCGTCTCTTCAAGTACATCTCCAGCTTTGTGGGTTATCACGGCAGGAGGGGCTCAGTTTCTCGTTGTTGTGACTGTCATAAAGTTATCTCGGTGAGGTGGTGCTCAAGGTTATCATGAGAAGTTTAGCTGAGCTCGACCAAAGCGGCCAAGGCTCCGGTGTAGCCAGCGTTGTAGTCGCAGGCCACCTCGTTGTGCTGGTAGTCGCCGCGGTCGTCATTCCAATTGCCGTTCTAGGGTAGGAAAGTTTAGGATGTTAATGCTTTGTCCGGAACACGAGAATCAGAGCGGCGAAACTTTTAATGTACACAAATGTAGTAAAATTTAGCGCAAAACTTACGAAAATCAGACTA